CGTGATTGTTGATAACTCTACAGACAACATTCTGAGACCGCCATGAACAGCCATTTTCGCAGACTTGTGGTGGAAAGCTTAGTGCGAAATAAACCCATATTGGATGAAGAATAAAGAAATAAAGAACAAAACCCCAAGTAAGCCGTCAAGCATAGTACCTTTGTTTCCATTACCGCTGGTGTGGGATTGGTTTGACGATTTTCTTGCTTCATCTGCTTCTTAAACTTGCCCACGTACTTGGCATTCTTGTAAAACTCCCTTTTCTTCTCTACAGGCCAACATGAAGTTTAGCATGTCAATAAACCGAGCAATGGGAGGCATAAAACCCTAACAAGAAGAATTTCAATTTCTTACAAAACGATGTTTGGTTGTGTACATAATGCCCTAGGAATCACTCAGCAAATTGACCAGAATTCAAAGGCATTCAAGCTCTTATCTACCGCCTCGGAACTCGGATTGCCAAAGGGAACACAGGTATCTACTTGCATGGAAGGGCCCTAACTTCTCGATTACACCATTCTACGAAGGCAAAACTGAATTGACAAGAACCAGAGGGAGTTGATTACTCACTTATTATGGCAGGATTGTAATTATTGGTGGTGGATTTGATGCTGGCGAAGGTTTCAAGAGAAAGGCCCCCGCTGCCGCCTCCCAGCCTCTTCATGTTGTTTTTCTTCTTCTTCACGGCCGATGGTTTCAGGGCGTCGAATTTCGTCATCGTTGGTGGGAGCGAAACGAAACTTTGGCTGCAGAAAATTGAAAAGCTCGCCAACCCTAATCTCGCAGAAGGTGGCCTGCTGGAACTGGAATTGGAGCGGCCAGAGGAAGACGAGAATCGAATGACAGAGCAAGGAATTGGATTCGAGTGGCCATCAAAGACAAAGTTAGTCAAAACGATGTCGTGCCATTTTAGAGCCGGAAACCGGACATGCAGGTCCGACCAGGTTTTGACCAGCGGCTCTAACGCACAAAATGGCTTGTTGGCGCCTGGCGGTGGCGGGAACCGTTTCCAAGGCTGGGTTTGGTTCGACCTGATCCAACCGACTGGTCTGACTTTGGTTTTGACAACCGTAATTTGCTCACCTCAGCAGGCACTGAAATGGGCCGGCCCTAAAAGCTCCTGGAGGCCTATAAGCTCAGCAATCGTAATTGGCTTCTATTAGGTTTGTTTGGATAAGAAATTTTGATGAGGGATTGAAGATTTTTTCGGATTGCTATTTATCGCTCCAAAAATCCTTACTTGTCGTCCTAGTTATATCAAACTTACTTTAATACCCTTGATTTATTTTTTTTTTGTCTTTCAAACACTTTGTTAAACCCTTAAACAAACACATATATCTACTCGCAATCATTTTGAAAACGATTTAGAACAGAAACGTTGTAGCCATTCACAATAATATTTAAAACAATTTAGATAATCATAGTTCTAATCACATATTAGTTTACTAAATAAATAACACTTTAATTATATTCACAATGATCAACAATATTTATTAAATAAATAAATAACATAACATAACCCAGTTCAAAACCCGCCTACACAACAACGTCTGACGTTGCCGGCGGGATGCCAAACAACAACAAAAAACATAAAACTTAAAATGCATTGTTCTACTGCGATACATCTTGTTCAAACATTCAATTTATCCTCTCATTAGCTTTGTAAGACAATACATGACCACGATCTTACGCTAGGCTGCATTATAAGTTGCGTGCCGAGTGCGCATATGGCAGTACGCGCGTCGAGATGACGTTCAATCATGAGGCCACGCTGTCGCTGGTTCAAATGGCGCCGGAAGAGTTTTGCACGAAGCCCCGACAAGAAGCAAAGGCTCTCATATGGGCTCGCTGCAACATGCCATTTGCAGCAGAAGTTTACATCGCAAGGGCAGACGAACATACAGCCCCACACATCCGCGTTGCCACGCTATGGCACCTATCGGCTTTCTAAAAATTACCAAGCTATGGCATCCACTCCGTCTTTTGCATATGACTTCTAGGCTGATCTGCCTACCACCTACATCTCTGGTTGGTTTATTTGAATATGAGTATGGGTTATTTGAATATGATTCTGGGTTATTTGAATATGATTTCGAATGTGTGAGAATATGAGTTTGAATATGATTAATTTTAGTGTATGTTATTTTTGAATATGAGTCTGGGTTATATGAATATGAGTCTTGGTTATTTGAATATTTCTATAATAGCATTGAATATCAGTGTGGTTTTTTAGAAGCTCGCAAGGCCCTAAATATCAGTACAAAATAACGTTTCATCCGAGCTAAACAGTAGCTCGCAACAAACGTAATATGCCTTCAAAAGAATGTGCATATTACTACAAAATAACGTTTCATGTTGCTAAATAGAAGCTCGCAAGGCCCTGAATATTAGTTCAACCAATTGCAGTATGATATGTTATCGTATAACAAATTATATCACAATTGGTTTCCCAAAAAGACATATCTAACCAACTACGATGCAAGCAGATCCATGAGATCCTCTTCGTCATCCATGTTTGGACTTCCACGTTGAGTTTCAGGAACTTGCGACAGAATCTCCAAGTCCTTTAGTTGCTTGGCATACTGAATCTACTTCTTACCGCGGGCTTTCTCATTTCTTGACCTGTACCTTTCACGACCATGACTCCGTGGATGAACCTGTTGCTTCATGGTCAGGCCATTTAATGGTTGAGACCCCCCTGATATAAGACAAGTCATATTTAGTAGTAAAGTATGTAATATTCAGTAGTAAAGTATGTAATATTCAATGCAACAGTAATTAATATTCTTATTGGATGCTTACCGGTTTCACTTGTTATGGATCGGGACAAGGCATGGTCTGCCGACTTGCACATTTTAGATAGTGCTTTCATCCACTTCTCATACACTCCATCATCAGCAACAGACAGTTTTGTAGCAAGCTTATTATATTCAACATGGTAGTGGTTTCTCTATATCTCAATGTTGTGGTGTTACCTGCGATGTTGGAAGTGTATGGAGCCTCATCCGTCCTGGCACTTGTGGAGGATGCATTACAGGATTCGCTGGCATGAGTTGTCAACATACTAGCAGTGAATTGACTTATAAGCCAACATGAAGACCACTGTTTCCGGAAGCCTAGCAGATACTGCAACCACGGGTCGCCATCCACAAAGTCACTGTCGGGGAAGCATTCACCAAGCATGTCCTTCCATGCAATGTCAAATTCAGCCTCACTATCAACCGTGTAGAATAAGTAAGTGAGGTGAATGCTTAGCTTTTTTCCAAACATCCTTGTCCTTCTTAAAATACTTCTTCGCATTCATTAAAATGTGCCACGTACATAATGCATGAAAGACACCAGGCCACTCATTACGAAGTGCTTTGGCCATAGCCGCATCCTGATCGGTGAAGATGATGGTTGGGAGCTTCTGATCCATGCAACGACGAAACGCATCAAACAACCACTCGAAAGATGCACTAGTCTCATCATACAACAAACATGCCCCAAATATGCAAGTCTGTCGGTGGTGGTTGAAACCAACAGACATTCCTACATAACACATTTGTACAAGTTCATTATTGTCACCGTCCATGGTAATATTCATACATTCCATACTAGTATTCAAAAAATTCGGACGAGTATTCAAGCTATCATGACTATCACACAATGTATTTGAATAGAAAATTATATGCAAACAACAGAAGAAAACACGTACCCAATGGGCGATAGGCTTTGTTCGTACGGTAAATTGTGTCGAAAGAGATCGAGTCACCAAACAATTTATAATCAGCCCGCATCTGGGCATCCGACCAGAATATGTTAGCAACTTGCTCATCACAATCAACTTCCACGGAATAATAAAATCCAGGGTTGATTTCCATTTGCTTCTGAAAGTACTCCAACAAAAAAGTTGCTTCACCATGTGCCATGTTATTCTGTCTTCGCTTGTTTAGATGGTTCTTTTGATCATTCTTCGAGAAGTTAAGATTTTCATAACTACCAGCACACATAGCAATTAGCTTGTAAGAAGAGCTCAAACTAACACCAGCATCCGCATATTGGCTTCAACCATCAGACTTTCAGCCTCACTAACACTTTTGTTAGACCACAAAAACTGCGCATGCTCCTTTGAGTGTAGTTCATGATTGTGTATATTGTTGAAATGACTAACCACGAATGCATTCCTATCGACATCCTACCGAAAGGCAACACGAGCTGTACACCCAACCCTTAACTCGTTTCTTTTTCTTTTACGATGGGTTTTAACAATGAAACTATCTTCCGGTCGTTTCTTAATGACCTTTGGATTTCTAGTACTCAGCTTCGAAAAGCCTTGTTTGTTGCAACAATAGTAAAGGTACCTATACTTTTCCTCAAGCTCTCCCTTGTTGTTCTTGTGCAACCTCGTGTGTTCGTTGTATACTCGAACACCAAAACCTCGGTCATGACCATATCTTGAATAGAAGCTCTTGCAATCATCTACTGTATTGAATTGCAAGTTCTTCCTTAAGCACTCATCTTCTAGTGCTGCATAGCCTGTCATTGGAATTGCACAAATGAATACAATTAGTCAAATCCAACCAATAAAAGCATTCAATAAAAGGTCACCTAGTATTCATTACAATCTCAACAAATATTCATTACAATGTCAACGAATATTCGTTACAGGGTCACCTAGTATTCATTACAATCTCAACGAATATTCATTACAATCTCAACGAGTATTCATTACATTCAACGAATATTCATGACAATCTCAACGAATATTCATTACAATCTCAACGAATATTTCGTTACAATCTCACAACGAATAATCGTTAGAATGTCAACTAATATTCGTTAGAATGTCAACGAATATTCTTTAGAATGTCAACGAATATTCGTTAGAATGTCAACCAATATTCAGTCGAATGTCAATGAATATTCTTCTAAAGATGAAGGCGCATTAATTAGAATGTAACGAATATTCTTTAAAAGATGAATGCATATTCATTAAAAGGTCAATGAATATTCTTTTGAAGATGAATTTGTATTCATTAGAAGGTGAACGAATATTCTTATGAAGATGAAGCGTATTCATCTTCAATATTCTTTTGAAGATGCATATTAAAGATGATGAATATGTACCAACTAATATTCGATGACGTAAAAGTAATATTCATGAAATTTAAAAAGTAATATGGTCATTAGGGCTAACTAGTATTCTGCAAGCGATATTCATGTTTCTCTTCCTCCACCAGGGATATTCAGGATAGAACGACCAAGTATTCATGCAAGCACAGAACACCATGCAAGAAACCCTAAAACATAATAAATGCAAGCACCATAAATGTAAACCCTAACACATTCAATGCTGATCAACAACCAAAACATATATAAGTCTAAATGGATCTGATCTGTTTTTTTGGTCTTCACATACCCCCTTCTATTTCATCAACTGCAGCCATCCACTCTTGCGAACCCCACAAACCATCAGATGAACCATCCGCTTTGAGGATAGTATCAGCAAGGTGCTCATCTTCTGGTCTGCCTCCTTCAACATAACCTTTATTGTTTTCAGTCGACATATCTTCAAGGTGGACCTCCTCTTTTGGTGCGACATCTCCTTCGACATCATCCCCCATCTTCGACACACTATCTTCCCCTTCCTTGCATCTCCTTCTTCTCTTCGAAAGACCAATCTTGCATCAGACCGCCCCTTCTTGCGTTTTTCTCTGGATGCTCGTCTTCAATGGCGGCAAGGCGGACGAAGAGAAGAGATGAGGAAGAAGAAGAAGAGAGCTGTGAGATTGAGAGAGATTGAGAGAGAGAGAGAGAGAGAGAGGTTGGTTGGTAGCCGGTAGGTGGGTGGAATTAATGAAAGGGTTTTTTGGGGCTGGCTTTTTTCGCTAAAAATCCCGCCAAAACACCCAAAAATTGGCCCAGACCCCACCCATCTCTCACTCCTCGGCCCCACCACTACCTTCAGCTCGGCTTCCCCACAGCTCAAGAACGGCTCGTCCCCTTCCCCGAACCCGTGTCCCAGCCGCTCAATTCAGGCCTGTGAGTTGGTGCACACAGATTTCTGTGTGTGTACCATAGCGAAATTGGACAAAACAAAGGAATAAAAGCTGACAGTATAGGAGGGGGAAATATATGGGAACTAGCTAGCTAGTGGCCAATTTGGTCAATCAAAGTTATCAATAAATGATCATCTTGCCGATCGAAAGCCGTCAAACCAAAGGGCTAGTGGCGTCAGCTATACTTACTGTATATAAACAGCTGCAAGCTGCCATTTTCTACGTAGTACGTACCCTTTATACCAAATATCTCCTACACAATAACCTTTCCTTTTTTTTTTGTCTTTGTGTGTTGTATCATCTGAATCAAACAGTAGTCAAATTGGCCACCTTCTAGATTGCGTCCTCTACATTTTTGTTGTCTGTTGCTATCAAATGTGATTATAATGATCTCGATAGTTATAACAAACAATACCATAACAGAAAGAAAAAAAAAAAGGCTGTACCAACTGACCTTATCTCCTCCATTCGCAATGCCATTGCCAGACTCAATCCACCATTTCATAACAGTGTTTGCGTAAACTAGCTTCCGTTCACATTTCCATATGTTGTTAATTAATTAATCAATTAAGTACAAAAAGAAAATCAAAGCTTAATTATCTCATTAATTTCTGGTAATTAACCAAAGCGCCTCTCATTGGGGCTGACAATTAATTAAACCTGTCTCCATGTGAGTTCTGCAGTCTCTAATTAACCCTACTTTCCATATTAAATTTTCCGTCACTTGTAAGTTTTGCTGTAGAGATCAAGTAATTAAAACACAAAGAAAACGATCGATCGAATCGAGAAAGTAGATTTGTCTTTTTCCATATTGTACTTAAGATCTTGATTAATATCGTCGGGGGTCTGACTAGGATACGGTCGAGAAAATGACAAAATCGATGGCAAAAAATTAGATGATAATTAATATTGGAAGCAGAAAACACCTGTTAATCCAGAAGGTTTGGTGGGACACGAGGAATTGGGAAGGACGAGAACTACGTGGAAGGTGAATAATTAAGGGGTTGATTAGCGCCAAATGCGAGAAAGTTTAGCAGAGTGGGTGGGCCGAGGAAGGCAGGAAGCAAATGGGAGGCTCCAACTTCCGAGCATGAATCCGATGGGGCGGTTTTGTGGCAGAGAGAAAATGAGGTCTTGTCTGCTAAATAATATGGTGTCGTCAGAAATTTATTTAAAAGTAGGTTTTTTCGATGTGTTTTCATATTCTGAAAATTTTTTAACATATATTCATCGTATAAATTATGAGGAATCTTAAGATATCCGACTGAAAAATCATTCACGGTTTCATCACTCATTTGATTTCGAAGTGTTTTTTCACGATGTAAATTGTAGTAAGTGCTCTTTCAGCACTTGTAATGACAATTGACAGCAACATATGCATCTAAAGTTTTTTATGTTTTATATATTAAACTCAGTTACTACTACATTTTTATGATCAATGTGGTGCAAATGACCTATCTTACCCTCAAGCACAACAAAAAAAGATACTACTACATTTTTATGATCAATGTGGTGCAAATGACCTATCTTACCCTCAAGCACTTCTGCCTAGTGATGGCAATTTCAACCCGCCCCACGGGTATTACCCGACCCGACCCGCTATGGGACGGGTATTACCCGACCGGCAGTAGCGTGGGGCGGGGCATGACTATCTACTTCCGACCCGCCCTGCCCCGCCCCGCCCTGTTCTAGACTTATTTTATCTCAATTTCTTACAATTTTTATACATATTTCTCCTATTTTGACTTTTCTTCAACTAGTTAGAGTCGCTCTTTCAACTTGTTAGACTCAATTACCCATTCTATTATCACTATTTTTCATTCTTAAATTATTTTACCATTCGTTTTATCGTAAAAAGTAAAATTTACTTGTATTTTTTCCGAATAACATGTAAGAGTGGGTCGACCCGCCCCGCCCCATACCCGCGCGGGTTTTACCTGCCCCGCCCCGTAGTAGCGTGGGGCGGAGCATGAAAATTGAGGTACCCGCCCTGATTAGTGGATATAATGTTAATCATGATTTGTAATAGTCTTTACATTTTTTTACAACTACTGTAAAAAAAAAGATAACAACTACTACAACTCTATAAGAAGAATGGTCACAACTATAGCTATACTATTACAACTCATTCTTATCAAGGCATTAACTCTTTCTATAGTTAGCAAGTTAATTAATCCATCCTATGGTTTTGTCCTTTGTTTTTTCTTCTTTTTTCCAATTTGTTATTATTATTATTATTATTGATAAAAAAAACCCCTGTAACCAATTACAAAAGAGAAGCTGCCACGTCATCGACATCTCCCCACTCCTTTTCCAACTTTTATCGTGCTTGTTGCCCTCAGCTACTGATATATTCATTGAATCCCATAAAGCTCTTCCACCAGCTTTGTATATATATAGTAATATCGCTGGTGCATCAATCACAAGAAGCAGGCAGCAGCAGCAGCAGCAGCAATCAACAAGCTATCTACTACATCTCTGCGTTATTTCTCTCCAACTATATTGCCAAGGAAACAATTCAGTCAAGTCAGAAGAAAAAAAAAAATCAATGGCACTCCACAACCACAACCTTGCTTTAGCTTTTGGCCTCCTCGGTACGTACTTTCTTCCAGCAGCTGCTAGCTTGTCTCCATTTTTGCTCTCTCAAGATAATACGTACGTACCAATTATTAACACATGCAATGTTATGCCCTTTTTTGGTTTTCACAGGCAACATCGTGTCCTTCTTTGTATATTTGGCTCCACTGTAAGTTTGCTCATATATTTCACCCTACCAAATACCAATCAATCAACTAGCCATGCAACACGATCGAACCGTTTTGCTGATTCGATCGAATCGAAATTTTGCAGGCCGACGTTCTTCAGAATCGTGAAGATGAAATCGACGCAAGGGTTTCAGTCCTTACCTTACTCGGTCGCGCTGTTCAGCTCGACGCTGTATCTGTACTACGCTTCCCTGAAAAAGGAAGCCTTCATGCTCGTAACCATCAACTCCATCGGCTGCGTCATCGAGTCCGCCTACCTCCTCATTTTCTTCGTCTACGCCTCCAGATCCGTTAGGGTAAACGTAACAACTTGTAACATCATATTCATTCTATAACGATGGTGAAGTTACCGTGGTTAAAAAAAATGTTGTTTCGTATAAGTATCAATAATTAAAAAAAATGTATGTATGTTCAGATACACACCGCGAAGCTGCTGATACTGTTCAACACGGGCGCCCTCGCGGTGATCATGCTGTCCACCGCGCGCTTCGTCGTGCACAGCTCCCACCTCAGGATCAACATCGTGGGCTTCGTCTGCGCCGTCTTCTCCGTCTGCGTCTTCGCCGCCCCACTCAGCATCATCGTACGTGTTTTTTTTTCTTCTTCTTCTACGGTTTCTCTCGTAGAGAGTTATCAGAATCAACTGATTCTGCGCACGTCAATTCTTCTCTGACGCGCGCTAATGAAAATTTGTGGACATCTATATGTATGTGTGTGTGCAGCGACGAGTGGTGAAGACCAAGAGTGTTGAGTTCATGCCCTTCTCCCTATCGCTGTGCCTCACGCTCTGCGCCGTGTTCTGGCTCATCTACGGCCTCGCCATCGATGATTACTACATAGCAGTAAGCTAGCTAGCCCTCTAACTTTTCTTTACTGTCTCTCTCGCGCGCCACGTTCTGAACCCAGCTCACGTAACATTTTTCAGACTCCAAACATCTTGGGATTCGCGTTCGGGTTCACGCAGATGGTGCTCTACTTGAAGTACTACAAGAAGGGAAGGACGGAGGTGTTGCCCGCGGATAGCAGTACCAGATCGTCTCAAATACTAAGCAAGATGAGGGAGCTCGAGGCGGATCCTGATAAGCAGCAGCAGCAGCAGAAGGTGGCGAGTAATAAGGATGATGTGATTATCACCAATGCAAATGTGGACAGTGTTGTGGTTGTTAGCACTGAGGATAATACCCAGCAGGTGATAATCTCTGTGACTATAGCCAAGTCTGCGGAAGATGAAAAAGAGGAACGAGGTGGTGGTGGTGATGGCGAGGAAGTTGGGAAAGAGGGAACTGCAGCAGCAGCAACAGCTGTTGTTGTTGCAGGAAGCGAGCTCAATGTATGATATTATTATTAATGATGGCAAAGCTTGATTGCCCCGTCCGTCTATATACTTCTGTTTACGTTTTGGTTTTCTGTTGTTTGGTTTGGCTTTTTTTTTTCTTTTCCATTTTTCGGGGTGGTGGAAGTCTTGGGTGGGGTTACGGTTGTATTAAAGTTGTTGGGAGATACAGTTGATCATAAAAATGGGATACAGACAAAAAAGCTAGCTGGAGAAGACTCAGTTTGATTCACATAGTGATACCCCAAACTCTCAGTTTGGCTTGAACCCGAAATAAATACATTGATTTTGAGTATGTGATTAGATATAAATATTAGAATCGAGCTAGAATACAACTCATCGAATTGGATCACGCGCACAAATAATTGATGATTCAAGCAAGTTAATGTCCAACTACACTAAATGGAGTAAGATGAGGTGATGACCAAGGGAAGGAGGGGTCAAACACACTTGACTAAATGAAGTGCCCTACATTGTAATTGCTTGAGTTAATTCTTTCACATGGTTTTAGGGAATATAAATATGTGGGTCTCAAGTACATAATGAACCCAAAACCATCATATATTCATGGTTTTACAAAACCCAAGTTTTACCAAAACCTTCATTTTTTAAATTTATGAAGCAAACGACCCAGATAGTCATAATTACAAATAGTCATAATTTGTAATTGTAATGTAAGTTAGTTTGGTTTATGATAGAAAAATAAATGAGATAAAAACAAGTTTCGTAAAGATAGAAGAAGTTTCATATAGAGAAGTTTATAGTGTAAAATTAATGTGAGTCATATCCCTTCTAAGCATGGTAAAGGGAACCGTACCGGAGGTCGTACCGGATCCGTAAGCGGTAGGGTATTTTGTGGTATGACCGTGGTTCAACCGTTGTGTACCGGCAAATTTGTAAATAAAAAATATTTTTTGGTTAAAAAACCGTATCGGCAAATTCAGGATACCGTGTCGGAGTAATACCGGAATATACCAGATAACAAATCTGAATAAACTAAATAGGCATATGTAATATAACAATAAACAAACCGCAACATTACTGAATGGCCAATTGCGGAAAGCATGCAGTTGAAGCTTATTCGATTTTTTTTTTTTCAAAGGCCAAATCTAATTTTGGGGGGTGATGTGAGATTTTCATCTGCCCACCCCTTGCCCTTATTTGGCCAAGAAAATGGGGTGTTAAATTAATACAATGCCGGCCCGCACCGCCCATCACACAGTATTTCAAAGGCCAAATCCAATTTTTAGTTTTTACTTGTTTTGATGAAGCGGAGGGTCGAGTCGTAAACAAATCTAAAAGCACTCAAAGAAGGGGAGGGAGAGGAGCGCCGACTGGCCTAAGGAGAAGCGGCGAGGAGCAGCGGGCAGCGAGGAGCAGTTCAGGAGGAGCGCAGAGGAGCGGCACGCCGGCTGAGGAGGAGCAGCGGCAGAGCGCCGGTGGCTTCGCCGGTCGAGGATCGCTGGTGGCTTCGCCGACCGCCAGAGGAGAAGAGGAGGATCGGGGATCTCTGGTCCTGGTCGCCACTCGCCAGCCGCTGGGAAGGTTTTTTTTCCTTTGGCTGATTTGCCATAGAGAATAGGGTTTTGAGCTTCGGCCGTTTTTATTTTTATTTTTTATGCCTAAAACCACGTCGTTCCCATCCCATAAACCCACCCCCGATTAGACCAAAATCGAGCGGTTTTTCGCATTGTGCCGGTTTAGCCGGAAAATCGGCCGTCATGGTTTCCTGGCCACTAACAATCTACTGTACCACCCAGGGGCCGATTTTCGTTTTACCGGTTCAACCGGCCGGTACGATCCGATTTTCTTTACCATGCTTCTAAGTAGTCATAATTTGTAATGTAATGACATAGAGAAATTGTCTAGAGAGAGAAGAATAATGTCTTAGAGAGAGAAGCAATCTGATTTATAAGATAAGGTAATTCGCCATATCCAGTTGTATTGTAAGTAGACATAATCTGTAACTAAAAAGAATTATGGTTTGTCATATAAATAAGTCTAGTTTGTAAAGTAAGTTATATACATTGTACTGTTAGAAGTTTATGTGTAACTTAGTTTGGTTTGTAATGTGAGTCATATCCACTGTAAGTAGTCATAAATTGTGATGGCAAAGTATTATGGTTTGTAGAGTAAATTAGTCTAGTTTGTAATGTAAGTCATATTCATTTTTATGTTATGTAATTTGTAATGAAAATAAGTTGGTTTCTAATGTAAGTCATATCCATTTGTATTGTCATAACACTCAAATTGGTGTTATTCACCTCCATATATTTTGGTGCTTTCATGCTCAGTTGAGCATTAAAGAGTGTTAAACCGACATTTTAGCCTATTATTGCTTCTTAGAACATGCATGGTTGATATTAGGTGATCATTTGTGTGTTGGTCACATATGGCAAAGTTCAAGGCTCAAGTGTGGGGAGATTGCATGTGGTAAATATAGATAGCACACAAAATGAAGAAGATCACGGTCATGATTAGCCAGCCGTAAACCCGAGATCACGTGACGTGCAGAAGATCACTGTCGGGATCTCTGATTCCTCGGTTGTGAATTTGCGGCCAGGAGGGCAAAAAGATGTTACGATCTTGCGATTTCACTTGCGAGCCTCCAGCCCCGAACCGCGAGAAAGATCACGATCGCGGTTCTCACATCACGACTGGGATATCTAGTCCGTGAACCCACTTCACAAACAGGTCAAAGCGACGACGCTTTGAGATCGCGTGACAACCTTGGTCTGCACAACTTTGAACTTTCTGGAATGGCTGTGAATTTCGATGGATTTTCAATCTCTATAAATAAGAGGAGACCCCTACTGGTTTAGTGTGCAGAATTTTTAGCCAGATTTTAGAGAGAAATTAGGATTTCTCCTATGAAGAAAAAGAAGGAGATTGAAAAAGAGGAGAGTTTAGAGAAGAAGATTTCCTACAGCTAGGAGGCTAATTATCTTTATGATTTTCCTTCTTTTTATGTGTTTTTCTTCCCCTTCATGGGTAGTAATTTAAGATACTTGGGTCAATTTTCCGAACCCTAACTATAGTATTGTTATGGAACGAATGATATATCTTAACCAATGATGTACTTGAGTTCAATTAGCATTCATACTTCTTTATTACATGAATTTTGTGCATGTGAATATAGTTTGTATGTTATATGTCATGTAGTGATGATTTTGAGAGCTGACCTAGGTTGAGGTGATAATCCCGTTAGGTTGGATAGGAAATTAGGAACAACAAGATACTGGATTCAATCATGAACTAACAACCATACATGAGTCTCATAAAATGCATAGGGCGAAACTTTTTGGAAATACAATTTAGAACTTGAAATGCTTCTACCATCTTTCCCCCTAATTTTATTATTATATAGTAATTTGAGATAATTTATCCTTATGCCTTTATTGAAATCTGATGTTAGTATAACAACAGTATGGGATAGGGTTATGCACCCTTTCATAACTAGACCTTAGATTTTAGTGGGGCCATAAAAGTTCAAATCTAAGTGGTGAGAATTAATAGTTTTTAATTTTTCTTAGTTTATCTTTCTTATTTGTCTCCTATATTCTTCATTCTTCATAACACTCATTACCACCTTGGTACCACATGGTACCACCTTCGTTTTCAACTCGAATTTGAAAAATTTTAAACAGAAGGAACAAGTTCATCGTGATCTATTGGATCTATAAATTTCTAGAGAATTAAATACATGACCAAAATATACCATCTCATACCACTCTGGTATAGAGGTGGTAACTAGTGGTAAACAATGATGAATGTGATAAATGACAGTTCGTATATTCTTACTATAATGTATTCAACCATTCTACAATATAGTACGTTCATACCACTATCACTATGGTACACTTTCATACCACGTGGTATGGTCTTATGTAATACCAAGTTTTACTAGCATGGTATAGACTGGTACTAAATGTCTCAATTATTATTTTTTTCCAAAATATATCAATGTGGATATTAATTTGAAAGCATAAATAATCTGATTTGTGTAAGAAAATTAAATTATGATTTAAAACGAAAGAGATATAATCCATTAAAATTCATAAGACAAAAGGTTAGGGGTTTTCCATAAATAGTGATGTGACAAGTTACATCACTATTTATAAGACAAAAGGTTACATCACTAAATGTCTCAAATTATGATTTAAAATGAAAGAGATATAATCCGTTAAAATTCATAAGACAAAAGATTAGGGGTTTTCCATAAATAGTGATGTGACAAGTTACACATTATTATTAACCATAAAGTTACTTACTGTAGGGGCTCCCAATAACAAATTGTACGTTATTCTATCTCAAGCAGGGGTGAAAATGAGTCGAGTCGAGTTTTCCCCAGTTTGAGCTCGGCTCATTAATAAACGAGTCGGACTCGAGCTCAGCTCGTTTATTAACGAGCCGAGTCTAATTCGAGCTACTTTGTTTACTAAAATCTTGACTTTTATTGGGTACTTCATTTTGTATATCATGATACATATGATTTATTTTGTTAGCTAATCTCATATTATACTTTGTTGGTATCATATATCATTTAGTTAATAAAGTTTAACTACTCCAAATCATGTTATTTCATAGTATCTAATTAATCTATGATACATAATTTCTTTTAAAAGTAGACATAAGATATATTTGCTCACATACTCAACGTGTTAAACTTTACATATGGTGATATATATAATTTAACAACTATATGAATTAAAATCATAAGATATAAATTGATTCGTCCATAAGTTGGTAATCGAGTTGGCTCTCTAGCCACATGTTGAGATATATCATGAGCTCTAAACGAGCCAGCTCACGAGTTTAGCTCAACAAGCCAGCGAGTCGAGCTAGCTCGCGAGCTTCATGAGCTGAACAAAGCTTAGCTCATGTTTGACTCATTTATTAACGAGTCGAGTTTCGAACGAGCTTTTATCGAGTTGAACGCCGAGCTGCTCGCGAACAACTCAACTCATTTGCAACCCTAATCTCAAGTCTAATGTCTTCCGAATTATTCAAATTAATCAAACTAAATTATCAAAACACTACCGTTTGAACACCCTAGCAATTGCCATGCGCCCCGAGCCAACATTAAGTGCCTGGCCGAGTTTGCCTAGAGCTGAGTCATTTTCTCTCTCTCTTGCTTTTCAAATTCTCTCCCTTCTATCTAACAACTTTGGCCAGGCTTCCATGGGGGCTGCTGTCGGCGCTCCTCCAGCGACCGGCGGCAGCCCTCTGCCCCTCTTAGTTTCCATTTCGCTTTCCATTTCTTTTTTTTTTCCCTTGTTCTCGAGCTCTGTTTTGCTGCCTTTGTTTGACATCTTTCCCCCTGTGTGGGTTCTGTTCTTTCCCCCTCTGTGGGATGGTGTTTTGTCCTTCGATTTGGTTTCCAGATCTGAAGATGTGTTGCCCGGTTCTTGATGCGATGAGGTCAGATCTGACGCAGACCAGACTTGTCTTCTCCTCCCCCTCCTTTGATCTACCTCCTTGTCTTTGCCTTGCAGATCTTGGCTAGTCGGAGATACAGCTCTTGGCGTGGATCCGGTTGGGAGAGCTTGAAGACAGTGGTATTTTAACTCTCTGTCTCTACTGCCGACCGTCCGATTGTTCTGGTTCCCTTGGCGTGGCGGTGGGTTGCAGGCGGTGATCGACTCGGGGTGTGCTGGCTGGAGGTGTTTCCTCCTCCTCTCGTCTTCTGGGTTGGATGAGGTCCTGGCCGCGATGTGCTCTTCGATGGGTCGGTGGCGCGTCGGTGCGGTGGGGGTTCTCGGCCGCGGCGTTGGAGGTTGACAGAGAGGGCGCTGACGGCTAGGGTTTGGGGGGCTCAGCCTTTGTTTTGGCCATGGGCCTGGGCCCTATTGGGTTTTTGGGTTTTTCTGTTGGCATGTTTTGTGTTGAGGTTCTTCTAGGGCTGGACGTTCGGTTAGCGGTTACCGGTTAACCGACTAACCGAAAATTAAGGCGTCGGGCGGTTGGCGGTAGCTGGTTTTACTGTGCCGGTTAACCGCCTAACCGGCCAGCTAACCGGCAAGTGAGAAATGACGCCGTTCTTCTGATAATCGACTCTCTTCCCGACTTCCCCTGTTCGACCCTCTTCCCCTGTCCTAACCCTAATCGAATAATCGACCCTCTCCTTCTCTGTCGAGTGCTGCCGACTGCCATTCTCCTCCCTTCTCCCTCTCCGTCCCTGATGGGCGACGCCGCCGCCGCTCTACACTGTCGCTGCCCCATTCTCCCTTCTCCCTTCACTCCTTTGCTCGCGAGTCGCGACCCAGCAACTGCCAGTCCGCCATCCAACCCGTCGGCGCCGTCACTCCTCTGCTCGCCGCCAGCCAACCCGCCGGCGTCGCACCACTCCTATGCTCCGCCGGCGCCGTGCCACTCCTCTGCTCGCAGCCTGCACCCCGCTATTGAAGAATTATGTAAGTCACCCGCGCCACTCCTCTGCTTGCTGCCTTCTGGTTAATTCGTCGATGATTTATGGGTTGAAGACGATGAGATGATTGTATTTGTAGTTCGATGAGATGATTGTAGCTAGGTTTGTAAGGGGAATTAGAAATTGAAACCTGTAGAAAATGGAGGATTTTGGCTTTTGGGGTTCTTGGCAGGAAAATGGAGAAAATGGAGGAAAATGGTGGGTCAAAATGAGTTTGTACTTTGTAGGACTGGGTGTGAACTTGGGAAACCAAGTTTGTGTACTGTCTGGCCTTTGTTACCTTCATGTATCTATGGAAACTACAAGGAAGAGATCTTTATTTAATGTTTCTGCAGGCAGTCAACATCCTACAGAGTAATCACATATATCTTCTTTCTGTTGATGAGTAATGTTTGCCATTCAAGGAAAATAAATATGCATCTTATTCCTTTTGTGATGGTTCCTTGTGAAAGAAGAAAAGGGTAACAATCTAAATGCGATGAATTTGACAGAAGGGAAAGAAATGAGAATTTGCATGGAAATAGGCAAAATGATACATCCTAGTATTCGAACCTTGAAAGCGAATCATTGTATCGAAAGAACGATACTTTATAATTAAATTAAACAATTACTTAAAGTCTCAAACATGTAATGTTGATTGTTCGTTTTTTTTGTTGTTGTTGTTGCTAATGATAAGACTTCTTTTCTTCATCAGTTCTTTGTTTCACTGCTCTTTGGCTCTCAATTTGTGACTTTGTGTAATTGTTTTTGTAGAGTTAGACCTTCCAAGTTTCAACCCTTAGCTTGTTTGGTTCGCTTGTACCACTCCTTTGTGGGCTTAGCCTAGTTGTATTAATGAACATCATCTTTCAAAAAAAAAAAAAAATTGCCTGGCCGATTCCGGTTCAACCTCTAACCGACCAAGCTACCCGGCCGACTCGAAGGCCGTTTAGAAACTCAACCTGTCCCAAAGGCTGCATCACTTTTCTCAACCTAGCTTGCCGCGATAGCCGCCATCCTCTTCAGGTTTCCCTTCCCTTCCTCACGAAAGCAGCAACTTGCTTCTGAACCGTTCCACCAGCGGCGCTATTTGTCTACTCCAATCACTGGTCCTCGAGGTCGAGCTCCCTTTTTCATTCCTCTCTGAGTTCGTTTGAGTCTTAACGAGTTGCTTTCTTACTGTTGGTCAATATTTGTGTGTTCGGGACTTTGTCGAACTTCTGCTATATCTATAAACTTCCTGTTCGTGCCGCCTCTAGCATTCGCCTTTTCCCCCCTTTGGTCGATTGTTTTCCTTCAAGTGTTGCTTGGTTCGTTTTCGTTCTGCTAACCCTTGTGTCTCCCACCTTTTCTAGGAAAATTTATTGTCCTTCTCGGGCTTGCTGACTATACACCAATGGGAAAGAAGGGAAAAGCTAGAGAAGATGGAACTAAGGATTCAGAAAACGATCACAGCCCCAATACTGTTTTCGTTTCTAACTTGCCTTACTCCTTCACCAATGCACAGGTAGGTTTTCCTCCACCCTCTGCTTTTTTATGTTTGCTTTTCCTGGAACCAGCTAAAGGTTGAGAATCCATCAGACACAAATCAGAAATTGATCTGTCAATCGAAATTTATCGTTCTGCTTCAAAGAAGTGGGGTTCACGTTTGATGCATGATTATGAAAGGAGGTCATTTTGACTTTTATTTCAGCTTGAAGAGGCATTCAGCGATGTCGGTCCAATCAGGCGCTGCTTTATGGTTACACAAAAGGGTAAGAGGAGATTTGTTATGGGTAGAGGTCATTAGTTGAAGTAGTAAACATTTTTTAGCTTCTAGATCTTCTAGGTGGTTGTGTAGCATCATTGCTTTGCCCGGACTTTAAACGCGTTCCAGAGTATTTGGCTTGTTAATTTCTTGTTTTCTGGTGACTCACAGGAACATCCGAGCACCGTGGTATTGCCTTCGTTCAATTGTAAGTTATACTGTGTAAAAATGGCCACCAGTATAGTGGTTCTAGGTTTGGTGATTGACTTATGAACTCAAGATGTCAGTAGGGGATGCACTTATGCATACATCTTTCATCTTCTCTGATGTTAATTTAGTACATCTGCAGTGCTGTTACAGAGGATGCGAACTGTGCAATTGAACTGAAGAATGCTGTGTCTATTGGAGGTCGGAATATTGCTGTCAAACATGCACAACATCGTGCTTCACTGGAACAGCGTCGGGCAAAGGCAACTCAAGGTTGGTGATTTCATTCTGGTTTCAGACCCTACAATTTGTAATGTCTGTTGAGCTAGTATGTGTGTATGGTGGTAATGCTTTTTTGGGTTTCTGCTTTGTAGTTGATTCAGATGGTAAAAAGGCCAAGAATGTTAGTGATTTGGATGGGAACAAGGTAAAGGATGTAGTTGATGCAGATGCTGATGAGGTGAAGGACAATAAAGGCACTGTTATCTCTTCAGTGGACGTGATTCCTTCAAATTTATTGGAATCAGGTTGCAACATTGGACACATTCTCTACATAATGCTTTCTCATGGATTTTTTTATTCATTTCAATCTGATGTCTAAACTGATAATTAGGAAAACCAAAGGAAACAAAGAAGTCAGCGAAAGTTTGGAATGAACTCAATGATAAAGTGACTTGTTCTGAAAAGCAAAGGTACTGATCACAATTATCTCATTTGAAATTCATCCGAGGTTGTTTTTTTTTATTTTTATTTTTATCATGGTGCTGCAAACCTATACAATATGGATATGAAAGATGGTACATTGAGAGTATGTGGGTCTTACCTATTTGGAAACATTCAGACTAAATGTAGCTGAATTTCATGAATACTTATTTTTCGGTTCTAAAATGGGTTTCTGTATTAAGATTGAGCAGCCAGCTTCTGATTTTGTATCATCTGTACTTGATTGAGTCATGCATATGATAATATAAATGCTAATTCCTGGTCTGTATATTGTCTAATACTATCTGAAATTCTTAAATACCAAATAATTACAACAATCTCTTTTAGAGTTTTACTCTTTTGTGGCCATAAATAGCTCTTTGATGAAAGAAATCCAGACAGTTTCATTTTGTTTCTTTTGTTTTGCGAAGGGTTGCAAGGACTGTGATATTTGGTGGTCTTGTTGATGATGCTATGGCAGAAGATATTCATGCTCTTGCCAAAACGGTTGGCACTGTTTGTTCTATAACTTATCCTCTTTCGCGGGAGGTTCTTGGGCAACATAGTAAGACATTTTCACCCCCTCCTCTTATCTCTTCCTCTTTACCCTTGGATCATTCCAGTAATCCTTGACATTGGTCTTAACTGTTTTCATCTCTGTGTGGTTCTGCTGTGTTTTGCTTCCCTACAGTCTTTTATACTCGTATGATAACCTCTCTATCCAATTCATTCGTCCATTAGGATTCATACATTAACAAATGATAGGCTTCTGTCATGCATTATGCTGAATGTTCCTAGATGTGGTCGGGGAAAAAACTTGCATATTTAGCTGTGCTATAAGCTGTATATGCTTTGTGCATCTACCTTGTTGAGTCTCTAAGATGAACATGTCAATGTGAATCTCCCAGGTCTGACACAAGATGGATGCAGGATGAATGCATCTGCCGTTCTCTTTACTAGTGTTAAAGAAGCTCGCACTTGTGTGAGAAACCTACACCACAAACAGCTTAAAGGAGGGACTGTATGGGCAAGGCAACTAGGTGGAGAGGTGAGCCCTGAATTACCTGATTTTGTACTGATACTAAAACAAAGGTCAGGCCTAGCTTTGGGGAACAATGAAAGAAAGAAAACAGTGTGAAATAAACCATAACTTTTTATCTGTTGTGTTTGTGGCGCAGGGTTCTAAGGCTCAGAAATGGAAAATTATTATCCGGAATCTGCCATTCCAGGTTATAGCTTCACTGGAATCAAATACTGTTCTTCTATTCATACTTCTTTTACATTGTTTGTTAACTATGTTATGTGACATGAATGCAGGCAAAGGTGAACGAGATAAAAGAAGTCTTTTCATCAGCAGGCTTTGTTTGGGATGTTTTTGTCCCCCAGAACTCTGATACAGGGTTTGTATCTGTTAGCTCAGCACTCTTTATTCTACCAAAATGCCAGCAACTCTATTCTTAGAAAACAACTCGGCTTTGTGCAGGTTGCCTAAGGGTTTTGCTTTTGTGAAGTTCACATGCAAAAAGGATGCCGAAAATGTATGATTTACGGATTCTGCTTTTGTGTCACTTCTGCAATTCATCAATTCTGCATTGTTTCTTATTTTCATTTGTGTCCTTGTCACTGTCTATTAGGCCATTCAAAAGTTCAATGGATACAAATTTGGTAAAAGACCCATAGCCGTTGACTGGGCTGTTCCAAAGAAAATATACAATAGTGGTGCTAATGCCTCTACAAGCTCAATAGGTGGTAAGTTGGTTTTGTACAGATACTCTGGTTATGAAGTCACAATTGATCACCTGAGCTTAGGGGTTTGCATTCTTCCGTTTCCGGTTTCTGTTAGAACATTGACTTTAAACCAAACAATGAGTCTACAAATCTCAATCAGAGATGGTGGCTTGATCTAATCTGATCTCTAAAATCCTAATTATATATGCGTTTAATCCTAAAGCATATTTAATTTGATAAAATTGAACTTGGGAATGATCCGTGTTCAAGTTGCTTCATTTTGTATTTTGTTCATTACCTATAAATTCAGTAGTAACTAGTGAGTGTTGCTTTTAATGATATCAAATTAGATTTAGATCATCCATGAAGATCAGTCATCTGGATCTAATTTACTACCCTTAATCTGTATCTTAGGCAATACAACTTATCTTTGGATGAGCTTGATATTTTTGGATTAGTCAGTAATGGTATAGTCATACTTGTATGTTTTGATTTGTTCAAGCAGAACAGAAAAATGAAAAAGAGATTGACAGTGACAGCAATAGTGATTATTCTGATGATGATGATGATGGCGGTGTAAGTGGAGATAGTCCACAGGAAACTGGTGACACTTCAAATGATATGGATTCACTCGAGAAACAAGACTTTTCCACTGAAGTAAACTTTGAGGAGGAAGCGGACGTTGCAAGAAAAGTTCTCCTGAATTTGATTGCAACTTCCTCTAGTAAGGATTCTGCAGATGGAAAGGATTCTGACAATCCTTTGGCCGCAGAAGCTGACAATGAATTAGGCATTTCTTCTCCTGAAGAGGCTAGCAAAAGCAGACCACCAGTAAAGGCTCAACAAGCTGATGGAGAAGATGATTTGCAGCGGACTGTATTTATAAGCAATTTACCTTTTGATGTGGGCAATGAAGAAGTGAAACAACGATTTTCTACATTTGGAGAAGTTCTATCATTTTTTCCAGTTCTTCATCCGGTTACCAAGTAGGGATCCTTCCACTGCTCTAACATTGTCCTCATTTGTAATTTTTGCCCAAAAATTTATCTTTTCTTTTCTTTTTGTGTGTGGCAGGAGGCCTAAAGGGACTGGCTTTCTCAAGTTCAAGACAGTGGAGGCAGCTACTGCTGCAATTTCAGCTGCCAACGTTGCTTCTGGTCTTGGGATTTCATTGAAAGGGAGACAACTAACTGCCTTTAAGGCTTTGGATAAGAAATCAGCCCACGATAAAGAGGTGTCTAAGACAAAAATAGAGAGTCAAGATCAACGCAATTTGTATCTGGCCAAGGTCAGTTTCCTCTCAAACTTCCTATAACTGAAATAGTTTGCTTCATTTGATCCTTTCTAATTTGATCCTTTTGTTGAATCCTTCAGGAAGGATTGATTCTCGAGGGGACTCCAGCAGCAGCAGGTGTGTCAGCTAGTGATATGGCTAAGCGCAAAAGGTAAGCCCATGATCCTTTTCCTTTCTTCAGTTGGATGACCAGGAAGTCGTTAAGATGTTGGATCTGGGTGATGGATTTGTCACACCAAATTCATGAGAAGAGGTTTTTATGAAACCCTTGTTTGATGGAGCGAAGAGGTGTTAACTTCATAGACTTATTAATCGACGAGGGTACAAAATCCGTGGTCCTCAGCTGATATGAAAAATTCCCTTACATGTGGGCTTTTGAAATCCATTCATTTACCTTTACAAGTGTTAGTGAGGGTATTCAGGTAAAAAACTTACCTTTCAAGTGCCTCCCTTTACAACAAAATTTTGAAATCAACAAGTGTCAAAATATATCATTTGTTAAATCCGTGAATTCGATGCCCACATAGTTTGGAGATGCATCATAAGCTATTGATTGATTTAGTGGCCAACCTTTTCTTCATATCATTTCACTGGCTCTTTTATTCCTGGGATTTTTATCGTTTTCACTCAAGTTTCTTAATGCTCTTTTTGCAGTCTGCAGGAAAAGAAGGCGATTAAACTTAAATCTCCCAATTTCCATGTGTCGAAGACGAGGTTAATTATTTACAATGTGCCCAAGACAATGACTGAAATGGCCCTGAAGAAACTTTGCATAAAGGCAGTTATCTCAAGAGCTACAAAACAAAAACCTGTAATTAAACAGGTTAGCTCATAGAACTATTTATATCTCATCGCTATTGTAGATTAATTTTTGCATTTAGATTACGTTTGACACAAGTAAACACACAGGTGAAATTGTTGAAGAGATTGAAGGAGGGGAAAGTTGTGAGCCAATCTAGAGGAGTAGCCTTCTTGGAATTTACAGAGCATCAGCATGCTCTGGTGGCCTTGAGGGTTCTCAATAACAATCCTGGTAAAAAGCAGTTCCATTTATAGTTTTTCTTGCTGGTAGTATGGTCCTTCACTTCGCTAGCAAATTTGTTGTAACCTAATGTTTTCTTTTTTGACAATGTAACCCAATGTTTTTTAACCATTGTGGCACTCGGCAGAAAGTTTTGGTGTGGAGCATCGTCCCATTGTGGAGTTTGCCCTCGACAATGTTCAGACTTTGAAACTGCGAAATACCAAGATGCAATTCCAAAATCAGCAAAGCCATGGTGGTGATCCAGATAATGTGCAACATAATGGTGCAATCCGGACAGAAGATCCAAGTAGAGAAGAGAGGTTCAAGAAACGTGTAACTCAGAGAAAACCTGATAGTGCTTCCGGTGTATCTTCTTTAAGAGAGCAAAGACCTTTCAAGAAGCACAAGAGCAATCCAGGAAGTGAAGGCAACATAGAAGCAGAAGAAGCTGGTACATCCAAAGGCAGTACCAAACTCAAAGCAAAGAAGGGCCCTAAACGGAAGGCAACAGAGGAGGAAGGCAGGACGACTTCTCTGGCAAATTCAGATAAAGGCGATGTTACTATGAAAGACGAGCTTAGGTCGAAACCTGGTAATCGGAAAAGGCAGTGGGAGAAGCAGCAGCAGAATGGGGAGGACAGTAGAGAGCAAAGGAAACGGCCGAAGAAGAACAAAGACCATGCTGCGGGAAAGGGTGTAGCAGACAAGCTTGACATGCTGATTGAACAATACAGGTCTAAGTTCTCCAGCAAGCAGAGCTCTGAGAAGGCTGCCGGTGAAAACCAGTTGCAGAGGCCTAGTAAACGGTGGTTTCAATCTTAGTGCCTTTCTTGGTTATGAGTTATGACTTTCAAATCCTTTTCTGTTCAGACTATTTTACGTTTAAGGTAAAAAAATGGTTTTGAGGCCCTCGGTTGTGTTGTAGAGAGCTTAGTTTGTTCTTTGTAGTAGTTGCCCTCAATTATCCTCCAGTTTTATTCAATAGTAAGAACGTGAAGTCGTCTGTTCTTGAGTTTTGTTTTTTTCCATCGTAATACATGCATGTTTCACGTCACGATTACTCTGTTAACAGTAACTCAAAGCGCACTCTCTACTACTTTCCTACTCTCGTCCACGAACTCCACTCTGCCTGCTCTGTCAAACCATTTCGTCCCACTATCTTGGTTCGTGTTTCGCTGGGCTGCTGTTAAAATCATAATTATAATTGGGAACTGGGGTATTATTAGATTTTCCTACTCTATTTTCTACATAAATTTTATGTGTGTTTTTACGTCAAAATCAATCAAAGAAAGAAATACTTAGAAAGTATCTCTCAAAATTCTAATTTCTCCTTCTCTCAATCTCGTCATCTATCTATATAGGCCGTCGGCCATTCTTCTCCCTCAATCTCCAATTTACTATTCTAAATTCCTCATCCATAATCCCTCAATTCTTTCTCTCGATCCGTAAATTCTCAAATATCAATCCGATCCGAAAACTCGTTAGAAACGTGTTTCTAAGTATTCTGATGATTTTGGCTAATACAAGGGCGGTTAGAAAGTAACCGACCGAGTTCAGACTGGATTCTGTGTCCAAACATGATCCAGGTGTTGGTTAACTAAACAAACCGAGTCATCGCCAAATGTCACCTCCTCGTCTCCTCCCCATTTGCTCTGCCGCTCCTTCCTCCTCCCGCCTCCTCCCTAGTAATCTACACAATTCTGCTCCCACCTCTTCTCCCCAATTCCGCCATTACCCTCCATCTTCCATGTTCAGAACCTTCATATCCCCTTCTTGCCTCCGCACTTCACTCGCCGCACTCTGCTCTCCAGCACACCGACTCTGCCGCCGCCGCCGCTCCATTCCTCCTCTTCCTCCTCCGCTTCCACTTGTGCGTCGATTTCGTACCTTCGCGGCCTCTTCCATGGCCGAGCGCCCGTCGGAAGGGAACACTTCCAATCCTTCCACCCACACCAACCGTCTCGCGGCCGAGCACAGCCCTTACCTTCTTCAGCATGCTCATAATCCGGTACCCCTCAATTATTCCTTCCTCTCTATTTTGGATTTTTAATAGGAATAAAACGTTTTGCATATGAATTTTTTTCCTATTGTTGAACCCCGTTAAAGGTTGATTGGTATCCATGGGGCGAGGAAGCTTTCGCTGAAGCAAGGAGAAGAGACGTTCCTATCTTCCTTTCAAGTATTCTCCTCCTCTAGCCTTCTTCTTGCTCGGTTCTCTCTACTGAAATTAGTTACCCAATCCCTCTTCGTTCAAGGGTTTAATGTTCGATTGAATTTTGTTCGGTGATGTTGGGGGTTGTTTGCCTTGTAATCTATCTTCCCAAGTCGGATACAGCACATGTCACTGGTAAGATGCTCTTAAAAGTCTGTGGCTTTCCTTTCCTATTGAGGCTCTATATCTCGATTGTTTCTTCAACTTTGAACTCTTGTCTCACAAGGTGTCATGTCATGGAGGTCGAGTCTTTTGAGGACGAGGGAGTTGCCAAATTGTTGAACGACTGGTTCGTTAGCATCAAGGTGCGAATGCCCTTGCACAGTTTTATCTGTTTCAAAATGAAATGATGTTAACTCAGTTCCATTTGCGGCAGGTGGATCGGGAAGAGCGACCCGATGTTGATAAGGTGAGTCCTCTTGATTGTGAATTGTTACTGGGAAGGTGTTTCTTTTCCATGGAGGATGTAGAAGAAAGGCGTCGAATGTCTCTTTTTGTATCGAATTTGTAAGCATGTTTGTTTGTTGGCCTGCTTTAGGTACTAGCAATGCCACTGAGTAGCTGGTTTGCTGTTTTCAGGTATATATGACATTTGTACAGGCTTTATATGGTGGTGGAGGGTGGCCACTCAGCGTGTTCCTCTCCCCGGACTTGAAACCTTTGATGGGTGGAACTTACTTCCCTCCTGATGACAAGTACGGAAGACCAGGGTTTAAGACAATACTTCGGTGAGCCGCCTTGATCCTTGTGATCGGTCTACTTTCCTAAAATAATGACAAGTTCATACTGTCTAACTTTTTCTATGTTCTAATTTCATGTGAAGAAATACTTTTGGTGGCACGGGTATGGAGCGGGAGGCTAAAACCATACCTGATCCATACCCATCAAACTTTTTGCTGGTTTTACTCATACCCACATGGGATTCCCCGTGTTGACTGGGTCGGGGCCGGGGCGGGGGTTTGATTGCAGTTTTATTCGTGTATGTCATGTTTATTACTTCTGAATAACTCTTATATGAGATTTTTAATAATCACTCATTTTGTGTGTCATATAAACCACTTCTGAATAGCAGTTATATGAAAAAACTTTGAGATCACAACTTAGACATAGGTAATTAGCATCTTTGTGTCTTCAGTGGAAATTTTAATGTTTGCTTATCTCATGGATTCAATATGATTTTTTGTTATCTGGATCAGTGACTTGCTTCTCTTGTCAGAAAGGTGAAGGATGCTTGGGATAATAAGAGGGAGATGCTGACTCAAAGTGGAAACTTTGCTATCGAACAGCTCTCAGAAGCGTTATCAGCAACTGCAAGTTCAAATACACTTCAAGATGGTGTTCCACAAAATGCATTGCGTCTGTGCGCGGAGCAGGTATGGATATTGATGCTAGTTTCTAAACCAACCCAGTTTTTATCTTTGTGTTCGATATTAGTAGGGCTCCCTTCCTTGCCTCCCGTGGGCTTACCAATCACAACAATTATCCTGCTTGATATTAGCTTTCGATTCGTCTGAGATTTTACTATTAGTGTAACCAACAACTGCTCTAAGTCTTCTTGTGCTGCTAGATGTTGGAACTTGGAAGCTCTAATTTGGGCTTTATCATGGTTCTTAGTTTCAGGATCGACATAAGGCATGAACGTTCATATTCTAAAATCAAGCTATATTGTAGTCACACTTCTTTGATTCATTGATTTTGCAGCTTTCTCAAAGCTATGATTCACGGTATGGTGGTTTTGGTTCTGCACCAAAATTTCCTCGACCCGTGGAGATCCAACTGATGCTCTATTATTCTAAGAATCTGGATAATTCTGGGAAAATAAGTAAAGCAAAGGAAACCCAGGCAATGGTTATGTTCAGCTTGCAATGCATGGCAAAAGGAGGAATCCATGATCATGTTGGAGGTGGCTTCCACAGATACAGTGTGGACGAACGCTGGCATGGTTGGTGGCATCATTTTCTCAAAGAAGGTTTTGTTGTTAACAGCTCTTTTTGGTTGGTTCTACTGTGGACTTATCCGAGCTTTGCTTGTCTCGCTGGCAGTTCCTCATTTCGAGAAGATGTTATATGATCAGGGTCAACTTGCTAGTGTATATTTGGACGCCTTCACCATCTCAAACGATGTCTTCTATGCATGTTTGTGCCGCGACATCCTCGATTATTTGAGGAGAGACATGATTGGAGGGGAAGGTGAAATATTATCAGCAGAAGATGCCGACAGTGCCGAGAATGAAGGTGATAAACTGAAGAAAGAAGGAGCTTTCTACATATGGGCTAGCAAAGAGGTTTTCTTATCTCCAATTTTTTTCAGGTTTAGCATATTGCATGTTGCGTGCCTTTACTTTTGTAAATATTTGTCTGTGCAAGTTAGAAACATGTAGTTCACAGTTTAGTTGGCGGTAGAATAAGTCCTATCAGTTACAAGGTTTAGTTGGGTCGTTCTGACAATGCTAATAGACTGTAAGGCTTATGGTAAGTAAAAAGGTCGATTAGCTTTACTGATTCTGATTTTCCTTGGAAGGTCGACGATATCCTTGGAGAGCATGCAAGTCTTTTCAAAGATCATTATTACATAAAGCCCCTCGGGAACTGTGATCTTTCTAGAAAGAGTGATCCACACAACGAATTTAAGGGGAAGAATGTACTGATAGAGTTGAATGATATACTTGCTTTGGCATCAAAGTATGACATGCCTGTGGAGAAATATCTCGAGATTCTAGGTGAATGCAGGCGAAAGCTCTTTGAAGTGAGGTCAAGACGGCCTAGGCCACATTTGGATGATAAGGTATCCTGCAAAATCATAGTCTGTTAGATGATTCCTCCCTTCAAAAGAAGGATGATTCCTCTTTTATCCATTTGCATGTGATGCCACTTTGTAATGGTCTGGCTGCTTGTTAGGTAATTGTATCATGGAATGGTCTTGCGATCTCAGCGTTCGCTAGAGCATCTAAAATTCTGAAGCATGAAAGTCCGAGCACAAGATATAATTTCCCACTTACTGGCTGTGATGTAAGCTCTTACCTGTCTTTTTCTCAGATACTTGCATTTTTTGTTGGCTTGATTGCGTAGTCAAGTTTTGGTTGCTGGCTTCTTATAAAAAAAAAGAAGAAGTTTTGGTTGCTGGCAAGTGCACAAGTTAGGTCGTTAATCTATTGATCCAAAATAGATATGTTTTATCTTGTTGATGTCATTTTGCTTGGTTGGTTGTACAAATTGCAGCCGAAGGAATACTTGGAGGTAGCAGAAAAGGCGGCATCTTTTATCAGAAGGCACCTGTATGATGAACAGACTTGTAGACTCCAGCACAGCTACAGAAATGGTCCATCAAAAGCTCCTGGCTTTTTAGATGATTATGCATTTCTTATTTCTGGGCTGTTGGATCTGTATCAGTACGGTGGTCGAACCAATTGGCTTGTTTGGGCTACTGAACTGCAGAATACCCAGGTAAATAAATGGTAGTTTGCCTTAGTTCCATCCTTCCTGCGGTGAGCTCAGTTGTAACTGGAGGAACTTATTTGGTTGCTTTCAGGATGAATTGTTCTTGGACAGAATAGGAGGGGGATACTTTAATACAACGGGGGAGGACCCTTCAGTTCTCCTGCGAGTGAAGGAAGACCACGATGGGGCAGAGCCCTCAGGGAACTCGGTCTCTGCAATTAATCTCATAAGATTGGCATCCATGACTTCAGGGAATAAATCCAACCGTTACCGGCAAAACGCAGAGCATTTATTGGTACGAATAATGCTGCACATGATTGCCCAGTGTTTAAGTTTTCTTGAATTATGAAAATCTATTGAAACTTGCGGTAAATGACGATGCAGGCAGTTTTCGAGGGCCGGTTAAAAGACATGGCTATGGCAGTACCCCTGATGTGCTGTGCTGCAGATATGTGCTCTCTGCCTCATGGGACCCAAGTTGTGCTTGTCGGCCGCAGGTCATCGAAGGAATTTGACGACATGCTTGCTGCTGCTCATGCCTCATTCGATCCCAACAGAAATGTGAGCTTTGGTGCTTCTCTTCTGCTGCTGGACAAAGTGTTGGTGTTATGGCAGAACTGGAGTGTAATATCTCTGTGAATTCTTATTGTTGACAGGTGATGCATATTGATCCTTCCGACCATGAAGAGATGAAGGTTTGGGAACAGAACTACAGCAGCATCGCAGAAATGGCGAAGAAGAATTTTTCAGCTGATAAGGTTGTTGGTCTCGTCTGTCAGAACTTCACTTGCAGTCCTCCAGTTACTGACCCTAGGTCTTTGGAAACCCTACTGTCCAAGAAACCTGCATCATGAGATGGGAGTGTCTGCATCTGAGGGCATATATACGCGCCATGTGGCTAGTATTGTATATAGTTCCAGCCATCAGCCACTGATGCATCATGCATGCGGTGGACGTCGGCTCGCCTCTGCTCTTTTTATGTTTGTAGCTGTAGTTTGGTGGATGTCGACTGACGGGAGTCTGTATCATACAATAAGATTGTAGTTTTCTTCCCTATCGACATTTCTGCAAATGAGAAGGGAGGGAAGAAGTGTTGCGCGGTGTAAGCTCATCTTATGCCATATATTTCTCATGCGAATGGGGCTCCTCAAAGCAACACTTCAATAATCGGTTGAAAGATGTAAGGAACTTTTCTGTGGTACAATCCTCCCAGACTCGGACCAACTAGCCAAAGGCGCGCCCTTACACATGGCGGAAGGATGATGATACAAAATCAGAGTAGAATACGGACACTTTTAGTATTTTGGTTATAGGGTTTTAGATGCAAAAGCAGAGTTTGGTATTGATTATACCGAGCATTTTCGTGGTGATGAATACAGTTTGCACTTTCATTGCAGTGGCGGCCAGGATGGTAAATGTCCATCCTTGGTAATTTTATGGGCAGGGTTTGGTAATTTTATGGGCAGGGTATGAGTGAAGTATAAATTTGAGTTGGGTTTGAGTAGAGTACGAATATTGCTTTTATATTTTAAATGAGCATGAGTTGGGTATGAATATTCATTTAGTAATGGTTTGAAAGGAGATTCGTGAGATTGAGGGTGCTTTCAAACTCAAATTCATATATTAAAAATCCAACCGAAATGAATGGGTATGGTATTGAACTCATCAAATTCTACTTACTTACGATCTATTTGGAACTCATATCTAACAAATTGGGTTGAATAGTAAAATACCCATGAGTTTGGGCAAAATTGTCACCCCTAGTGACAGCAATGGAATGTTGGCCTCTACCACAACTAGAGGCGACAATTAGATTAGATCCATGGATAAAGTGGACTGGATCAAATGGATTGGCGGAATAATAGATTGGATCATATGAAATTGTGGATTGATCCAAATAATAGATTGGATCATATGAAATCTTGGACCAATATGTAAATTTTGAAAAGTTTAGGTACTAAAATGTTATAATAAAAAATTTATGTACCAAAACCTAATTTTCCAGTGATATTTTCGTCTAAAAAATGAAATTAGGTACCAAAATAAAAAGTATAGATACTAAATTATAATTTGTCATTTGGATCCATGAATCAATCCATGGATCCACCAATCCAATTGGATTTGGATAAAATGGATTGGATTAGTTGTATAACTAGTTTGAAGCCCGACCATGGCCGGGTTTATTTTCATTTTTCTTCTCTATTTCACCTTTGGCTCTATGTGATTATTATTTTTTCCGTGTTTTTCAAATAGAAGGCAAGATTGAGGATAATGACAGAAATATTGTTTTTTTTTTAATTTACCACGAATATGACCAGTTAAAAACTATTGACATAGATATTGTGTTTTAGAGATAAAAATCGGCGGGGACACCTGAGACTCAGGCGCTGCCGCTTTAGCTTGGTTTTTGGACCGTTTTATTTAGTTGGCAGCGGCGGCGCTCAAGACTCAGGCGGTGGCGCCCGAGACTCAGGTGGTGGCGCCCGAGACTCAGGCGAGTAGGTGGGAAATCATCCCAGGCGGTGGCGCCCGAGACTGAGGCGAGTAGGTGGGAAATCATTGGCCACCCACCTTATAAAACCCAGACTATTTCGTTTCAGATTCACACCACAAAAAAAATCGTCCAAAATAGAGGAGAGAGCTCTGGTTGCTGCTGCAAAAATGACTAATAGGTAAGAGACACATTTATTTTTGTAATTATATTATTCAAATGCTATTATGATTGTGTTTAGTTTTTAATTAGCGAGTTTGTTTTTTTGTAGTGATTTTAGAAGATTTGAACTAGTTGTTCGGTGGAAATCGGAGAAAGTAGAGGATAATTTGGGCGTCAAATTCGTTGGTGGTAGTAGTTTTCAGTTGACGGTTCCATCCAGAGTCACATATCACAAACTTTGTGAGACTCTAATTCCGAGAATACGGCGCAGAGACGAAGCAGTAAAAGATAGTGATGTGATCACAGGTTTCACTTACCGTCTTCCAGAATGGCAGAATGATGTTTTATTTCATTATGCGTTACCTATTGTGGATGATGATAGCTTGGATGTGCTTTGGAATTTTATGGCACAAAATCCTTATTGTTTGGGTGCAGAGATACATGTTGAGCTCAGTGAGGATCAGGGTGGAGAGGAAGAAGATGATACATGGAGCGTGCCATCCGATCATGACTATGATCACGGTGATGACGGAGAGGAGGAAGATGAGGAGGAGGAGGAGGAGGAGGAGGAGGAAGGAGAGCAGCTTAATTATCCTCCATATTTTTACTTGCAGGGTAATGAAGAGGACGAAGAATTTGCACTTGCTGATTCATATGGCGTAATTCCAATGCCTATTGTTGATAGTTTTGAAGGAGAATTCTACAAGGGGCAGATATTTCACTCGAAACAAGCTGCACAGATGGCGATTAAACACCACGCACTACAACGCAACTTTCAATATGGCGTGGTGGAGTCGTCACCTTCAATATGGAAGGTCAGATGCTTGAGGCACAAGGATGAGAATTGTCCTTGGATGTCGAGATGTTGGGGGCGAATGGACTGTGAGAAAAGCTGAGTTGGTGCATTCTTGTAGCAGTACGACTCAACCGACGGATCATCGCCATCTTGATGTCGACATGATATCTGAGGCCGTCAAACATTTGGTACGTGCCCAACCAAATCTGAGTGTTCTAACTGTTCAAGCCGAGTTGAAAGATAAGTTTAATATGCAAGTTACTTACAAGAAGGCTTGGTATGGGAAACAAAGAGCATTGGAGAAGTTGCATGGAAATTGGGAAGAATCCTACGATTTTTTGCAAACATTCTTGCGGGTGGTCAAGAGAAAAATGCCAACATCGGTGATTGATTGGATAAGAGTTCCTTCGGCTCAACCAGGTCATTCAATATTTCAGCGAGTATTCTGGGCTTATGGACCTTGTATAGATGGATTCAAGAATTGCCCAGGCGTCATGGTTGTGGATGGAACATTTCTTACTGGGAAGTATAAAGGAGTGCTACTCATGGCGAGCTCATTTGATGGCCGGAGGAAGATTTTTCCAATTGCATTTGCCATAGTGGAGAGCGAGAATACTGAGAGTTGGCCATGGTTCATGAGGAAGGTTCAGGGTTTGACTGATCGAAATGATGTATGCATCATCTCAGATAGACATGCAGGACTCTATGAAGCCATGAATAACATCGGAAGAGGTTGGGAGTGAAGGTGGTGCATGCGACACTATGCAAGCAATTTGCAAAGGAAGACTAAAAGCAAAATTATGTATAATCAACTATTTCGAGTCGGTAAGCTTTCTTCATTTAATTTTGTTATTTGTTTTCATGTAATTTTGTCATGAATTTATCTAACACGTGTTGTGGTTTATTTTGTTAGCCGGAGAAAAACGGTTGGAGAAGTTTGATCGTCAAGTTGAGCAATTTAAGAAGGTGGCCGCTGATAGAAATATTTCATGTGATAACTGGGTGGATCAACATCAGATTCGTTGGAGTTTAGCACATGATAACTACAATGGTGGAGGTCGTTGTTCTATCCTGACATCCAACATGGCAGAAAGTGTCAATGGTATTTTCAAAGGTATTCGTGCACTTCCTATAGCTTCTCTTGTGTAGCATACCTATTGGCGATTGGTGGAGAAATTCGATAAGTATAGGTTGGAGACAGGAGCAGAAATTAGAAGTGGCGGTTCACAGTACTCCACAAAGTGCGAAGAGCTGATGAAGTACAGGTCACAAAAGGCAATTGGACATTCTGTGACAGCTCTTGATCGAGGTCAAGGCATCTATGTAGTTCAGACTCCTCCCAACAATTTCAACATGACAGGGTCAAACACACTCACAGTTCACTTTGACGATCAAAACCGGGCAGGATTTTGCACTTGTGGTAAATTTCAAGGAATTAAAATTCCTTGCTCTCATGCTATTGCAGCTTGCAACCGAATGGGGGCTAATGCGTATAGGTTTGTCAACAATGTCTACAAGCTGGAAACAGTGATGGCTTGTTATGGGACAAGTTTCGCACCTCTTGGTGAACCTAAGGGTTGGAAGAAGCATAATGGTCCTATTCTCCATCCTAATGTGCACATGATTAGGAAGCCGGGGAGGCCACGAGTTACAAGGATTCACAACGAGATGGACTGGCCAAGGGAGGGTGCATCACACCAAGTGTGCAGCAACTGTAACCAAGCGGGACATAATGCATCAACTTGCGGTGGCCAAGCTAGTGGGAGTGGGAGCAACCGAGGAGGAAGTGGTGGCCAACGAAGAAAAAACCTAACCTCAGCCTCAGAATGTGGCGGATGAGGCTCATGCTGCCTCATGCCAAACTGCCGGAGCACGCGGTCTGGATGATGCCACATAACCTATGAAAAGCAGATAAGTGGCACTACTGCTCGAAATGTCTCAGACGGTAGCACACTACCTCCGAGATGAAGTGCTCTCTCAAAGTAAGGTTGCCACTACATAAAATCCAAAAATTAACGTTATTATCCCGAAATCTAAAAAAATAAAATAAATGAAAACTATTCTATAAAATGAAATGTTATATACTAACCACCACGGTGTCCATCGCGTCAAACCACAGCTTGTACTGGAATAGCTGGTCACCATACTGACGACTGTTGGCCGAAAGCCATCGAAGACCACGTGGGAATGCATCCTCGGTGGCCTGTGCTCTCGTCTCGAGGTGCCAGATGTGGGAATCGCTCCCACGCCCAAAACTGCAGTAGGGCAACCCATCCACCAAGGTCACCGCTAAGAGAAGTGCCAGTATGCGTAATGTGCAAAGGCGACCTACCCATCTCACGGTACAGGTAGGATAAAACAGCAGCTCCCCAGGCAAACCGTCCAGCTCTCTCCCAATCCTCAATCAGAAGTAGGTACTGTAGGTGCACCGTACTTCCAGACCGACCCGAGAAAAGTACACCTCCAAGCAGAGATAGAGCATAAGCTCGTGCAAACTGCTCTATAACCTCCTGTGATGCATTCTCCGGCAGATGACTGAATTCAACCCTCAGCCAAACAATCCTAACAACAGCGACACTGCCTACAAGATCGGTCGGAACTCGTCCCAACAGTCTCAAACAGATCGCCGACCACTCCTCATCCGGTATATCAACTACGACGGCATCACCGTCGATCGCCAGACCGGACAGTGTAACAACGTCCTCTAACGTGATCGTGATCTCACCACACGGTAGATGGAAGGTCGACGTCTCGGGGCGCCACCGCTCTACGAGCGCAGTAATCAAACTCGCATCGGGGTTCATAGGGACTAGGGGCACGACACTTAACAAGCCTGCCGCTTCGAGATATGGCCGATAAAGCTCATGGTAAGGTACTAAAATGGTCGTACCTCGAACATGGTACGATCGCTCACCAGCCTATAATGCACAAAACTTATATTAATTCATTTTCATTCGTAATAATTCTAATTTCACCTAATAAATTCTAATCTGTCTTATCTAACAAAAAATTATACTAATTTGTAATTATACTAATTTCACCTAACAGTTCAGTTCACAACCTAAAATAATCTAATTAGCTAATTAACTTTACATGAATAATTATCAAATACTTACCTCGTTTGTCCAAACAGAGTCAATACGATGTTGGCCATGTCCCCAAAGAAGTGTCGGATCGACCGGACTTGGATCAATTGTCGCCGGCGGTAATCTCATCGAATAAGGATCCATAAGCCTAGGAACTGCAAAAACAAAGCAACAAAACATTAAAAAAAACACAAAACATTAAAAAAAATCAAGCTGCCGACGAGAGTCTCACCGCGCAAACGGCCGCCGACTCCACCACGACCTCGCCGACCTCTCCCTCTGCCGGCGGCGAGTGGTTCTTCGCCGGAGGACATCTCGGGCGGCGGCGGTTCAGTCAAAGGCGGTGGCGCTTCTGTCAAAGGCGGCGGCGCTTCAGTCTGGGACGGCGGCGCCCGAGTCTGCGGCGGCAGCGCCGAGGTCTGGGGCGGTAGCAGTTGCGGCGGGAGGCAAGGCCGTCTCTGGTTCGCGGGGTTGGGGGGGAGGAAGAAGAAGGGAGGAGGAGGATGTGTGGTGTGGGAGGGGATAAGGGGGGAGGGGGGCCGTCCGAGTTTTAAAAAAAAAAGAGTCTGGGGCGCTCCCGCCTGAGTCTCGGGCGCCAGCGCCTAGGACTAATTAAAAAAATTTGACTGAGGCGGGGCTGCTTGAGACTGGGGCGCCAGCGCCCAGGACTGGGTAAAATATCAGTCCCGCCTGAGTCTCAGGTGGTCCCGCCCCAATCCTTACTAAAAAACACAATATTTGTGTCAATAGTTTTTAATTTGTAATATTAGTGGTAAATTAAAAAAAACAATATTTGTGTCATTAATCCTCAAGATTGCCAAGCCCTTATTTCAGTAGCCCTGCATGCAATAAAAAAAAATATTAGGTAGACCAATGTTGAAAAGAAGAATCGAATATCATCAATGCGAAACAACAAAAAGGTTAACTAAATTATTTTAGAGCACTAAGGAAAATTCCTAAATTTTATAAAGAAAAAAGTAAGACCAAAAGAGGGACAATTGATAACCACACTACAAACATTAAAAGTGCGCCATGATACAATTTTTTTCCATGGAAAATAGGTTGTAGAATGTTGTGGATCATGCTTAACGGAATTTGGGAGGTCCATGATAAATTTTGCTTCTTGTCACTCTTCCACATAGGTGATGGTGTGGCAGTGTCATCGATGCAAATAATTTGTTACGAGAACCTTCTCTTGTTGATGTTATCACGTGAATTCATTCCACTTCACTTTCCTATTGATCATAAAATCATAAATTAAAGTGATAACAAAAAATGCAGAAAACAACATGTTGAAAGACGTATCATGAGATTTTTTTTTGCATATCATGATGATATTTTACACTCAAACAAATAAGAGGATTTGTTGCCTAGACAACAATGCCGATAGTTTTTGTTGAATCATAATATCTAGTGGATTGACAATCATAATCGTAAAGTATGAAATTAAACCGATTAAATGTGAACTATCTCATTCAATCGGTTGTAGTCTTTTTTTTTTCTGAGAAACCATGAGGGAGAATCATGACTAACTATTTAAAGTTGAAGCCACTATTTGAAAACTCATGTACTCAAACATGTCATTTCGTTACATTCGAGTGTCGTAAATAAGGTTTTCAAATGAGATGAAAAGCAAAATTATTCGAGGAAATACCATGACATTGGAGCACATGCACTTAAACATGTCATTTCTCCTATATATACATTGAAGCCCTCATGTTACACATTGTGTTCTAGTCATCAACCAACAAATCTCCATACCTATATTGTAGAAGTTAAATCATAGACAAATAAAAGCACATATATATAAAGGAAGTTAAGAGATTGAAGGACTCACGCAGTGTGATACCTGGAAGAGATTGGCAATGTCATTTAACTTAATTAATTGAAATTCAAAAAGAACTCAGGAAACAAAATTAGACCTATTAATTAAGTATTAATCTGAGTTAGAAATGTCAATTGACATATCATTGAGTTTCATGTCAATTGGCACCCCCAGCCTGCTAAGTGCTAACAAACGAAAAAAGGAATGATTAAAGTGATGGAGTAGAGACAGTCTGGTGGCCGGTTCGATTTCGGGATGGAGTTCCCGGTGGGCTCTGCGCGGTGGCAGACGATGCAATGGAAAACGGTTATAGTTTCAGGTTTCACGGAGCGGAGAGCCAAGTGGATGGTTTTTATATTTAAAGTTTTAATGAACAGATTGGATGAGATTCATTGATATGGATCATACTTGCCACCTCCAACTTCAACTCTAAGTTAAAAATGTGTTTTCTATGGCGACTTACTAGAGGTTATTTATATGGAATGGAGCGTCCCTGCCTATACTATCACGGTTCTTCTTCACAAGTCTGCCGGTTACATCACTTTCTATACTGCTCAAACTTGCACCTCGAGGCTGGTTCGAGAAATTTAAGCAGACTATCATAGGTTTAGGTTTTCACCAAAACTTAAATGATCCCTCCTTGTTCACTTGGCAGTGGCTTACATGTCTTGTTATTTTATCACTATATGTCGATGATATGGTTGTAATTAGAGATGATGTTGGGGGTATTCGCGCCTTAACTAATAATCTTCATGCAACATTTAATGTAAGGAAGTTGTTAAGTACTATACACGGGCCTCTCCAACAATTCGAGTGATTGGGACCAGTTGCCAGTTGGTTTATGACATGGTATCAGAGCGGGTTTATCCTTGAAATCATGGTTCAAGTCCTCACGACCTCCAATATTAATCGTTGTCTTCAAGCACATGATATGGCGGGCCTGTGCAAACTTCAAGCCCATGAGTCGGCTTTCGTTTGAGGGAGCGTGTAAGAAAGTGGTAAAGTATCATTACATGGGCCTCTCCCAACAACTTGAGTTATTGGGACCAGTTGGTTTATAACATTTAACCTCAAGGAACTTGGTTCCTTGACATACTTTTTGTCACTTTGAAGTTAATTGGACACTGAATGGCATTTTCCCGAACCATCATAAGTATAAGTATATTGATGATTTACTCAATGACAGTCATTTTGATACTAGTTGGTCAACTACCTCACATATGAAAGTCAATGTCATGCTCAGTCATGATATTGGATAGTTGCTTGCAGATGGATCCCAATATCTCTTTGGAGTTTACTTTATTTTACTAATACGCGTCCAAATATATCTTATGTCATTCAGGTGGTCAGCCAGTTCATAGAATAGCCTCGTGATTTTCATCTCATTGTTGTGCACCATCCTGTGTTGTCTTCAATAGACGAAGGACATAAGTCTCTTCTTTCATTGGGATGGTAAGTTTGAGTTGCATGCATTTTCTAACTATGATTTGCAGGATGTGTTGATACTCATCGTTCTATTAGTGGATGGTGTGTGTGTTTTGGAGAGGCCTTTATTTTCTGGCAGTGTAAGAAGCATGACAAGATTTCTAAGTCGTCCACTGAAGTTGAGTATCGGGTAATGTCAAAGGTTGGTCCGAATGTGTTTGGCTCCATCGCTTGCTTACTGATTTTGACATTTTTTGTGTATCGCCTATGCCTCTCTTTGTGGATAATACCAATGCAATTCATATTGTTGTCAATGCAATCTTGCATGATCGGACAAAGCACATCGAAATTCATATTCATTACATTCGGGATCTGAATCGCGAAGAGGTTGTGGTTCTACATTATTTGTCAGCTGAAGACCAGGCGGTGGATTTCTTCACCAAAGCCTTATCTTCTAGTCGTTATTGGTACATGTCTAGCAAATTGATACTTCGCTAGTAACATCAATTTGGGGGAAGCTATTGAGCATATTGGTTTAGCCCAATTTGTACATATGTATGTAGTCCTTTTTTGGTTTGTTTAGACTTATTGGGACTTGGTATATAACCCATTAAGCTAAGCGAGGTTGCATGGGGTTAGGGTTTGCATGAGCATCATATATGTCCTTTGTATGTGTTGTAGTCGACTATCAATTTGAGACGAAATAAGATCTGAGGTCGGAGAGGTCAAACTCTCTTGTGGACTATCCAAATGTCGGAGATACTAAGTATATCGTGTGTGTTTTACTTGCTTTCATTATTCGTTTATGTGTTTTTGGTGAATCACGATGACTCGATCTGTCATCAATTATACCACCATCTTCAATGGTGGGTCAAGTTCCAAAAAGCAAAAGAAAACCCCTCTAATGGATGTTCCAAAGTACCAAATTTGAGAAATTTGATGGCAAATTTGACCCACAAACCGACAAGAAATCATGAAATCATGTAAGGCTTACATTTTTAACGAGCCAACTTGCTGCAGAGAGCAATTAGACCGAACACGTAATAGGAGACGAACCTCTTCTTGCGTATACGATCTTGCTGCTCTCATACAATTGACGAGTTGTAAATAAAATTATCAAATCTTTTTTTTTTTTTTTGGGGTAGGATAAAATGATCAAATCTACTAAACTAGCCTAAAATTTGACATTTTGACACTGGTGTAAGCTCATCACTTTCATTGATTTGCGTAATTGTGTAACGGTTAATGGTCGTTGGCTGGGCAGTATCCGTCTCTATGTGAACCCTGGAGTGCTCTTCGTCCGCCTCAATCGCTCCTGCCCCTCTCTTCCTTCTCTCCCCGTCTTACCTGTCCCGTTGAGCTAAGACTCTGAACTTGCCAATGGAGGGAAGGAGCAGGAGAAAGCCGCTGGTACTTTCTTCAACGAAAGTCCTCGTTAATTCTCTTCTCACTTCCTCCCAGCTCGGTGATCATGGCGAACGATACGCCGCCACTTACGACAAGCTCGCCGGTCAGTGTTTCTTCCACACCCTACAGCTGCCATGTGGAATTCTCCGTTCCTCTTTGGACAGAACAAACGTTTCTGGTTCCAAGCCAACATCTCTCGATGATTCTGCTTTGCTTGGGCTCTCGCTCTCTGCTCTCAAGAAGCTCGCAGTAACGTCCGGTTCCCTGGTGAGCTTTCCTCGCCTGCTTAGACCATTCTCTGGAATTCAATTAGGTCAATCTTGAGAAATTGTTTCAGACTGATAGGGAATTCGTCAAGATTGGTGTTCTGAGTTTCGCGCAAGTTTCTCGCATTTCTTCGGCGATGTATGTAATTGGCTGTTTGGATTGAAGTATCTTCTGACAGGGATGATTCTTTGATTTTCCTGCTAGGTGCTTGTCAAGAACATTGAGACGAATCTGGCAAGGGTTGCCCAGGTGGTTGTTCTGGATCGTCCGAAGGACCATCCCCATACTTCTAGTGTAAAACAAGCAACTTCTGCTTCTTCCCCTACAATGCTTCTCCTGCCTTCATGCAAGTTTCCTCCGGATGACACTCTACTGCTAGACCAGGAAATTGCATATATTTCTCCACTACTAGCTTTTAACCTAGACTTGCACATATCTTGCCTCAAGTCTCTTGTTCACCTCGGCGATGAGACATTGGCATCATTTTTCAAGTCCAAAGGGGATGACAATTTGCCTGGAGAAGTCAATGTAGATTCTGTAGTCAGTGTAGGGTTGGAACCCTTGAGTGAATTTCCAAGATATGCCTCGCACTTAAGGGTATCGTTCATTAAGATTCCAGAATGTGGCATTCTTGAATCTTTGAAGGGAAGTTCTTCAATTGAAGATGAATATCGGCAATCAATGATTGATTCAGCATTGCAGACATACTTTGAAGTCGACAGACATCTAGCAGTAGGTGATGTCTTCAGCATTCAAATAAATTGGGACTGCCACTCAACTTTCTGTGTTCATTGCAGTCAAAGGTTACAAAATGGAAATGGCAACACTATTTACTTCAAGGTTATTTTTGGTGCCTGATTTCATCTGATAATGCCAAATCATATGGTGTATCCAGGTCCTCATAGCAAGATTCTTCATGGTTTCAGGTTGTGGCCATGGAGCCATTAGATCAAGCATTTCTACGTGTCAACTGCACTCGAACAGCCCTTGTGCTTGGTGGGACGGTTCGCTCTGCTCTACCCCCTGATCTCCTGATTGGTTTACCCAAGAATCATATGCCTCTACAAGCAGATACAGTAAAGATTTTGGCATCAATATTTACTCCAACTTTATGCCCCTCTGCTCTATCATCCAAATTTAGAGTTGCAGTCCTGTTGCACGGTCTTCCTGGTATGTCTTGTGTTGTCATGCTATGTTCCTTCCGGATAAAACAACAATGTTATAGAAAACCACATGCAGGGCATAACAAGACGAATAGCATACTTTTGCAGGTTGCGGAAAAAGGACGGTTGTTAAATTTGTTGCTTGTCGTTTGGGTCTTCATGTGGTGGAATTCAGCTGTCATAATCTAACAGCATCCGCTGATAGGAAGATGTCTGCTGAACTAGCTCAAGCATTCAAGACAGCTCAAAGGTGAAGCTGTTGGCTTGTGGTATGACTAACAGTCATTGTAGGTCTTCATGGAATGATCTTTTCTGTGTTTGCTGATCCTTTTTGTGTGACTTTTGGTTCAATAAAATGGGTCGAGTGTGGTGGCTCAAATACTACATAATTTGTTGCTTTTCGGAACTCCTTCTATTATGTCCTTGGATATTTCGCGTCACATTGTTGTAGTGCTAACATTCTTTTCAAACAGATACTCTCCTGCAATACTTATACTTCGTCACTTTGACGTATTCCGGGATATCTCTCATGACGGTTCACCAAATGACCATATTGGTCTCACCTCTGAGGTTGCATCAGTTATAAGGGAATTCACTGAACCAGGTGCTCAAACTGAGAACTATGAAGATAGATCAAATCAAAATCTTGTAAGAGACAGCTTTGTGAGCAGTTTTCTTCTGAATTGTTGATGAATAAGTTAGCTCGTTTTTTTAGTAGAAGTGGGGTGTAGATATCATTAATAACATAATAATTGCAAGAAAAAGTTTGACACTATGTGTATTTTCTACTGTTGACAGATCTTTGCAGAAACTCTTTCATGCATCATTGACAAATTGTAGTGAGATTTAGTTTCTAAGCTGCTATAGTTTCCAGGATTTGACTAAATCCAGGGGCCCTCTTTCTATCAGTTGTCTGAAAGATATGAAAGTAACTTTAAACTGCTTTAGGGACTCTAATAGATATTTATCTGCATGCTTGCACGATGCAGCCCCTCGAGTACAAAATGAAGCAGCATCAGGTGCTGTTAGTTGCCGCTTCAGAAAGTTCAGAAGGTCTACCACCAATTATTCGACGTTGCTTCAGCCATGAGATAAGCATGGGTCCTTTATCTGAAGAACAGAGAACAGAAATGTTCTCCCAGTTACTACAAAGTGATTCAGAGCACCTTTCGAATGTATGCCAGACTTTTTATGTGTTTGTTCTTTTTTATCTCTTTGTTTGCTCAACTATTTTGCTTGAGTATATCTGTTTGATGATGGATTTCTGGAAAATTGATGTCTTGTCATTTATATGGTTCAGCAACTCTAAATTAGAATCTAAGACCTTTCTACACAGCAAGGTCCTTGGTTTCTCGATAATCTATTTTTTGTTCTGCATACTTGTTGAGTGACAATTAGGGTGCTTGTTGAGAAGGATTTGGTAAATGATATCATTGACCCGGTAACTATAAAGACGACTTTAAGTTGATCATACAGAATCTACCAGTGGGTAATACTCCAACTGGAACCTAATCCTTTTAGAACAATATTGATAATTTCATGTGGGTTTTTTCATGTCAATATCTTGATTCTTGCTTGTAAATCTGGTTATATTGCTTTGGTTTTCAAAATATTGGTTATCAACCCTAATTTTGTATGGGTCCTTTTATGTCAGTATCTTGCAAGTAATTATATTTTCTAGCTTTCAAAATGTTAGCCATAATTGTTGACTAGATTGGATTGCCGTTTCTTGTAGAGTGGGCTCGATGGTACTGTAAAGGATGTAGTTGGGCAGACATCTGGTTTCATGCCAAGGGATCTGAATGCCTTAGTAGCTGATGCTGGTGCAAACCTGATATGTAAAGAAGATGTTCCCGTGGACAAGGTTGAGACCGAGGACTCTGATACCTCTTCTACTGTTGAAGAATTGCACGGTAATAACTCAGACAGAGCCATAACTCGGGTTCTGGATAAGGAATGTCTGGACAAAGCATTGAACCGTTCTAAGAAGAGAAATGCATCAGCACTGGGTACCCCGAAGGTAGGCTGGCTCACCAGTTGTGATCCTAAACATTGATGTCACCTCCAAATTTTATCCAAGCTAACGGTTTATGCTTGCTATCTACTGAATGATGTCTAAAACTGTGAGACTTTTCATTGCTGCAGGTTCCCAACATAAAGTGGGAAGATGTTGGGGGTCTTGAGGATGTGAAGAAATCAATTCTGGATACTGTTCAGGTGAGAAATCCTGGCATATCTTGATTTAAGACAGTAGCTCTGTCTCATTTACTGGTATTGCAATCAGACAGTGGCGACTGTCTCCTTGGCTGGTGATACATTTGTTGTTTATTTTTCCGGTGAATGTGATGCATTTATTCTGTTGAACATTAGTAAATACCCTACACAGGAAATTTCGACTTCCTTTCTTGCAAAATCATGCTTTGGTTATCAAGCCGCTGGAATTTACTTGTTTTTTGTTCCATGCACAATTTCCGACATAAAAATAATCTCTTAAGAGGTTTTATTCTTAGATTCAGTGGAAATGAATAGGACCTACCTCGTCTTGGAAGTATAAAAGTCATCTCAGGAAAAACTAGGTGGTAAGTTTCAGGGGAAGTTAATCATGGGTTCCAGTTTGTGACGTTCTGTGGCCCCCCGAAGATAGCAGTGATGGACTCTTTCCGGACCCTGTTAATCAAAGTAACTTATACAAGGTTATTGTTGTTGCAGTTACCGCTCCTGCACAAGGATTTATTTTCCTCTGGGTTGCGAAAGCGCTCTGGCGTCCTTCTGTATGGCCCTCCAGGAACAGGGAAAGTGAGAAGCAACAGATGACAATGCTTATTATTTCAAGGAAAAAGTATGATTACCTAACTTTTTTCTCTCTTGAATCTCAGACCTTGTTAGCAAAAGCTGTTGCAACAGAGTGCTCCTTGAACTTTCTTAGCGTGAAAGGGCCTGAGTTGATCAACATGTATATAGGAGAATCAGAGAAAAATGTCAGAGACATCTTTCAGAAGGCAAGGCAATAAATTAATTTTTTATGGTCTTCGGGTTATCCATTAAGAAGATTTTCTTGGAGGGACTTTGCTTTCCTTCCACAGTTCGTTTGTACTCGGCAACCAAGCTGCTAATAATGAGACACATCCGGATGCAGGCCAGATCAGCACGTCCTTGTGTTATTTTCTTTGATGAACTTGATTCTCTTGCTCCCGCTCGAGGTGCCTCTGGAGATTCTGGAGGTGTGATGGATAGAGTAGTTTCTCAGGTAAAGACAATTACTAGTTGATGTTGGAAGATTCTCTTCCTTTTTCTTTTTGGGATTTTACTTCATCATGATTTCTATAAAACATTTTATTTCTCACCAGATGCTTGCAGAGATTGATGGCCTAAGTGATTCTACACAGGTAATATATTATTTACAATTTAAGAGTTCATGTTAGTGCTCATTGTGATCCTCTTGCTACTCATGCTTGTTTGTGTCCTTTCAGGACCTGTTCATCATTGGAGCAAGCAATAGACCCGATCTCATTGATCCAGCCCTTCTTCGACCTGGCCGGTTTGACAAGTTGCTATATGTAGGGGTCAACTCGGATGCATCTTACAGGGAGGGGTTAGTATATTGTTCTCTTTTAATGTTTTTTTTTTACCTTGTTATTACATGCACCATAAAAAATTTCTCAAGAAGTCTCTCTCCTTCACTAGGGTTCTAAAGGCGCTCACCCGGAAGTTCACTTTGCATGAAGATGTCTCACTTTATTCAATAGCAAAGAAATGCCCCCCGAATTTTACTGGTGCGGATATGTATGCCTTGTGTGCAGATGCTTGGTTCCATGCAGCAAAGCGAAAGGTTTGTGACCCATCAATTAAAAGAGGCCGTTGCCCATGTTTTGTGATCTGTCCTCCTGCATATGAAGTAGATGCTGAGTTTGTTTGTTTTAGCTTTTAGGTTCTTTAGTAGAAGTGAAGCTTATAAATTGTTTCGTTGGGGTTTAGGAAAAGATCCAACTGATGGAATGGGGCATATTTCATATCCATAAAAATAAGCAACTGATCGGACAGCAACTGATGAATTTTTTTTTTGGAAATGATCATGATACGTATAAACTTAGATAATATATTCTAATTTTAAATGGACAAAGTTGGTAAATAAATTTTATTAGCAAGTGGTATTGCCTTTGATAATTTGTGAGGGTTTTGGTGAAGTTACTTATGTTTTAGACAACCGAACACTCCCCCCGCTGTCTCCGACAGGAGCCAATTCCTGTTTCTGTTCAGCTGTTTTCTGTCTCATAAATGGCCCCTGCCTAGCTATCTACATGGCGAGATTTTGCTTTGGTTGGGTTCTGAACCTATCTTTGCTCTGTGTAGCTCTTGGACATGGATTCTGAAACTTCTGCAGCAGTCGATGAAGTGAACTCTGTTGTTGTCGAATATGAAGACTTCATGACGGTATGGTGCTGAGCATTGGTCGATTGCTATACTCTGATTACCGCTGCAATAAAAACCCTTCTAATCTTTATTTTTAAAGAAATTGTGTGGGTACGTTGGTAACTTGATATTTCCCCCCTCTTTTGGGAATTATGCAGGTTCTGGTGGAGCTATCTCCCTCCCTCTCTATTGCTGAGCTTAAGAAGTATGAGTTGCTGCGCGAAAAGCTTCAGGGACCATCAAACTAAGATTCCCACACTTCCTCCTGTTCCTCTCCTTGATTCATTTCTCCCATTTCCAGGATCATCCACTAGGTGGATGCCATTTAGAGGAAGATCAAGTTTGCTACTTCTGTTATCATTCTTGGTAGCTATGTTTCGTAGTTTCAGTAGTTTTGGCTCCGTCCTTATATAGCGAGTGATGATATATAATTGAACTTGTTAGCAAATATAGGTTCAGGAGTGTGCCTAGAGTGGTACGCAATGTAGCCTCAGACTCCATCAATGTCGAACGAACTTGAGCGCATTGGTTAATAGAGATGTTAAAACATCCATGGAGATGGAAGCAAAGTTTAACACGCCCTTATTTTAGAAGAAGCGTGGCCCTACATGAAACTTCGGTGCTCGGGACATTTCTTTTCAACCGAGGAACAAAGCGAATGATCTGCTGTAAGAAGTGTGTATCGCAATAGATCCTTGGCAAGGATCTCATCAGCATTGTCATTCATGGTGCGAAATAGTAGCCAGGGTAACTTCAGTGCCGAATTAGTGAGCATGCGCTTTCATCGAGGGAGACGTGCACAGGCAGGCTGCACTTCATTAGCTACATGGTGCAAGGAGCGAGAAATGGCGAAATGAAATGCTCTCTTTTCAATGACATGCAAGGGAAGATACGATCCTATGAGCGTAATTTGCATTAAATAAGGGTATTACAATCTCTCATCTTTTTTCATCTCATAACCATTCATGTTCTTTTCTCATTCCGGTTCCGGACATCATAGACCCGATCTCATCTGTCATCTCGTAACTTCATTGTTATTGAGCTCAACTATATATCCAGCCGAAAGCACACTCCGTAATCCTTATTCCTATTGTTGTTGTTCTGATTATTTCCAAAAATGTTCTATGTCTGATAAATGTGTTCTATACCTGATTCTAATTCAACTACTGTACACAGAACCTACAGTTGTCAGAATTACATCCGGTTACTTGCGGCACCGGCTTATTTACAGCAATTGGTCATATGGAACAAACCTTCAGACCACATACATCCTCTTAATACAGGGAGAGCAGGGTAGAGAGATCCTCCATCACCAAGACAGTTTTCATAATACAGCCTCAAGACACCAATGCCTGCCCAAAACCCAGATTCTAGATTAGTTGGCCTGAAAGAAAGTCACAAATTAAAAAAAAAAAAAAAACCCTACTCTGTATAACCAAAATATCTCCTACTAGAATCCCGGGTATCGTACCTCTGACATCATGCAAGCATTCCCATAAATGGTGACCAATCAAGTGTGTCCCCCAACTTGTTTTGTGAAGCAGAAAAAGAAGGAACTTCTCAAAGCTGTGTGCAATCATCTGTAGGAGCAAAAACCAAACAAACTCGGTGAGTATACACCGAGATCGGGAAATCAGAACCGAGACCAACCAAACTAACTTTTACCTGTTTGGGTCTTTTGCAACTGTGGGAAGTATTAGGGCGGAACCTCTCTCCCTGCTCACGGAAGAAAAACAATGAATTAGTATCAGAGCAAGGGTAACTCCATTGGATATTTTACATATATCTGTTGACTGCAGAAAGGGTATGGCAGACACAATTCATATGCAACTCATTCAAATATAATCTACAAGGTTCTGTATTTCAGGTGAAATGTTTGACAAACCTTTTTTTATCAAGCAGCAACTCTCCAGCTCATCCTGCCGCGTTATTATTTTCCTCTAAAAAAAATACCTCCTTCAACTTCTACTTGTCTTTATTAACAAAAAGAACAGGGAAAAATGTTACAGCTGCAACTGTCGTAAGGGTCAAATCATCTGCAATTCCAGAATAGTAAAAGTCAAACCAAGAAATTGATGGAACAATCAAAATATTCATATAATTCCACTAAGGAAATAAAGCAGAAGTAAGAAATAAAGCAAACCTGGGATGCCATTCAGATTATCAATCCTCGCTACATGGTGCTCTCACCAATGAAATCACCAGCATTGGTCATAGGTCTAAGCTGGATTACAATTGAACAGCACACACCAGAACCTTCCAACCATCAAATGTTGCGCAGGCACGAGAACAGCAAGCAGCAGACCTGGAACCTCTCCTGGCTAAAACAATTGCTAAGGTAATGGGATACTCTCTGTTCATCAAGGATCTACAACCCCGTAGAGATTTTCTCGGTTCTATATCATTAGTTGCCATTTCTTCTGGGCTGAAATCACGTTGGATCATGAAACAGCCTAGATGTACAGTCTTCAAAATCATGTTGGCTGTGAAGTTCAACACCATCCTGACCATCCTTGTTCAGTGTAGAGTACGTCAAATCCAATATTGCGTATTATATACATGAGCCAGCAGGAAATGGCGGTCTCAAGGTAGAAGGATCAAAAATTGCAACACGGTAATCCCGGGCTCTTTAACGTTGTAAGAGACTTGGTTGCAAAAGAACACCAGCTGAACAAAGCTTCATTCACAATTGATTTCATCTCCAGGAACAAGCATCCATTAATTATCGGCTAATAGCTTCAACTGCAAGCCGTATTAGACGTAGTAATCCTTCTACATCATGGAAGCTGAAATCAAGAGCTGTTTTGATGGAAGTAATACCTTCCCTGCTTTGGGAGTCGCCCAAGCTTATGCTAGCTGCTGCAAAAGCCGTCCGTGATTTTCGTGATGCTTCCATAGCAAAGTTAACATTCTGTGCCTGAAAGAGAGCCAGGAATCAATAATGCCAAAGGCTACAGCACAATGGTAGAGTCTACGTGTACACTGAACACACACAAAGCACAGGCAGCTGTTATGATCAATCTCCTTTGAAATGGTAAGCATAGATTAATCCATGAATTCAAGTTTGTTTTTTGTTTTTATTTTTATAAAAGGATGCGGGGCATCCTAACCTTCATTCATAACCAAATAGGGCTCAGAAATCCCCTGAACATCATACATAATCCAGTACATCAAAGAAGGATCTGTTACAGGAAAATTCAAGTTTTTCAAAGAGCAGAGACGAGGGAAATTTTTATGATTTTAGATCCTAGACAGCAGTGGAGCTACTGATATATCTACCCATAAACCAAATACGTCTCTTTATTTTTAGGTACCACACGCTGTGAACTATTACAAGGAAAAAAGTGTGCTTACAAAAGTGAGCAGCCGGGTAACATTGGTACGATTTCGGGCAGCAATGATGTGACCTCCCGTAACTTGAGGTGAGCTGATACCTTTTCCTAAGGTAACTTTATCCACTGCTGTTGGGTGATTCAAGTTATCAATATCAGATGCAGAAGAGGAAGGCGACTCGCCTGAAAGTTCAATGCTCAAAAGTATAAGTCAAAGTGACATGTAAATGACTATACAATAAAGCAACAGGTGATGAAATATTGTTCAACCATTTCGAACTTCATATTCATATTTCTATGGAAAAAACATAAAAGTTTCATATTCACATAACTGAACAGAGAAGCATATCCAGTGGTTAACTAATAACAATTAAATATGCTATCCAATGAAGATCCTAGAGGATAGGTTCTGAGAAAGAGCATCACATAAGGCACAGCCGAAAACAGAACGTATACCACAATGGATACTACAAGAGAAGAAAGGGGAACAGTATGTTCCATGTATCAACAACTGAATGACAGGAAACAAGTGTAAATAGCAATCATATTGCCAAGTGGAAAAAGAGCTGCAGACTGTTAGTGCAGAGTACTATTAGGAGATCAAGCTTTGCTTGTACCTGTAGGAATCATCTGTAAAGCCATCTGTAACTCATGTCTATCTCTGTTGGCACTGGAATGTGAACAATGAATTACCCTGAGGTACGCCACCTCCATGCATTTGTAGGCAAGAGCAGCAGCAGCCATGTCTCTAGACTTCTCATATTCATGGGCACAAAACCTAACACAACACAAAAGTAGATGAAAGGGTCTACATGAAACCGGAGTATGTTTCTACATATATTTTGTTAGTTCCCAACTTTAAGGTGGGAAAAAAAGTTCACAACCACACTTATCAAACTAAATTTCCACAACAAGAACCCGCGGTGATTGGTGAAGCCAGGACATTAATAAAAGCTAAAAACGACATACACAAATTCATTCCCAACTTCGCGCCTTTAAAATAAAGATCTGTAATAAGAAATAAAGCCCTAATAGTCATTTTGGGAAAAAAAATTATTGCTTTATTGTTAAAGGAATCATCTACTAATTCGTCAATTAATCTCTTTTAACTAAAAGCATCTCATATTTCACCTCTAAGGACTTGACAAATAATATTTCCGTTTACTAAATTTCTAGAAAAAGAACCAAACAGACCCATCAGAACCAATAAGAAAGGAACAGTTTCCAATATGAGTAGAAGTATGCATTTCCACATTTATAGGAGTACCAAGAAATTAAAGCTTCGAAATAAGAATTAATTGGTTCATTCTAGTAGCTGAGGAAGCGAAAACAGAGACAGCTACCAACCAAAAGTACCACGGAATGTAAATATCAGAAGATCAACTAAACCCTGTGCCAAATGAAGCAAGTTCAACAAGATTTATAGTCTAGACTTACTCGCAGAGTTTGGCAGTGCTAGTATAGATTTGCATTGACTGGATCATATCTTTCGCATTTTCATTGCTTCCCGATTCCAAGAGTGAGGCTCCATGAAGAAACTTAAGGCTTGCCTCGAAGTAAAGCCTTGTACTTTCCTGAACTGACCCAGAATTCTGCACAGAGACGGCATCAGTCAGTATGATGTTGGACAAAATGAGATATCAAATTTTCCTACAAATCAAGCAAATAATAACCTTCAGACGGTCAGCCAGGTGCTTTAGATTTTTAGCCTCTTTCAAAGCATTGTTAGCAGCCTGACTGGAGGAATCCCTTTTAACTGGACTAGGGGCATCATGATCCCTGATCCTGTGCCCATTTGATATTTTGTTCCCTGAGCTGTGATTTATCCCGTTCGGGGGATGGTCAACCTTCCTGATATGCTTCTGTGGCTTGTCACCGCCGGAGGCACTAACAGACAAACCCTTCCCTACATTTCCTTTAACGGAGAGTGATTTCTCTTCTTGAATTATCCCACATGGATTTGCTGATATTTCCTTCTCTTTAGCTGAGCTCATCTGGCCTTCCAGTGGTAAACTCGGTTTTGCATCATCAGTATTACTAGCAAGTCCATCATCACCTGGACAATTGTGACCACCTAAGTTTGGTCGAGCATCTGTTTTGCCATTCCCTACAAGCAATAGTCCTCCTGAGCTCTTATCTAGGTATCTGCTCTCTTTCCTGTCAGACATGACACCAATTTTCTCATCTGCCTTGTTTTTTCTATCCCCAGATTTTACTCCAAAAGACGCTGCATGCGCTGTAGTAGAATCAGAAGCTCGAGGTTTTCCATTGTCAAGTGAAGTATCAAAACTTCGGTCCTTGGACCTTGAAGATGATGATCCCTTTGTGGACTTCCTTGAGCGAGACCCATTTGATTGAGAATGATTTCCGTTTGGCCTCTCCTCATTGTGGTGTTTGTCCTTGCCTCCTGACCTACTATGATGCTGAGTATCTTTGTCAGAGGAATTTGCAGTGGCACTTGCGATCTGTTGATTTGTAGAATCAACAGTAGGCACACTTTGTTGTTTAACTTTTCCAAATGATAAACACTGACCATAGTCCTTCTCTTTAAAATCAATGTAAGGCTCAAGAGACCCATGACGACCCAAATCAATATTTTTATCTTTCTTCCTCTTTCCAAATTGGTCACCAAACCCTTCATCTTCTCCATCAGAACACTTTCTGTTGACATGTCTCTCAGTGTTTCTTGCTGCTGCTACAAGTTTATCTGGTTTCGGTGTTCCTATAGGTAATGATGAAACTGATTCTACTGGGGAGCCTTTTGTATCCAGGATGTTGCCTTTCGTTCTGTGGGAACCAGAAACCTTAGAAGAGCTAGAGGTAGCAGCCACTGGCGGATGTCGATCCCCTGAATCTTTTTTCGAACATTCAACACCATCCAAACTCCTTTGCGACAATGTGCTTCCCAAATCTTGCCTTGATTGCTGTTTTCTTCCATGACTGCCCTTCTTCTCTGTTCTACCATCACCTTTACCATTACTAACCTCCTTTCCAATAGACCTGGACAACAGTGCCTTCTTCTCCTTTCTGAAGTCACTATCGCTGATATCTTCCTTTGCCATGATTCCACCATCATGGAGTAGGGACTCTGTAAAGAAAGGGGACGACGATCGCACATTTGCATCAAAGTCTTCATTTGCTTTCCTTTTTTTCACCACTTCACCATCCTTATGCTTCTGCCTATCCATGGAGCGAACATCCAGTGCAATCTGAACTTCATCTTTCGGCTTCTTAGCATAGACTTTTTTCTCATCCTTTTGCTCGTTCTTTGAGTCCTTAGAAGAAGTATGATCAGACTCTTTAGACCGCAGTTTACCAGAGCGAATGTCAGGACCATTCTTTTCAGAAACATAATCAGACATTGGATCTTCTGGCAAATCTTCAGCCTTTAACTTCTTGGATGCTCGAACTAAATCTTCATCAGATACCCTTTTGCTTCTCATCTTTGGTTGACGAGTTTCACCTGTGTCAGATTTTATTCAAATAAAGCGGAATACGGAAAAATGTTACTAGTACTTGGAATGAATGGAAAATATAAATTGTCAAAAAAAGCACATACCTCCATCAGAAAAGTTGTCAAGCACTTTGTGCTTCCCTTTCAGCTTTGGTTTATTGTTTCCCATGGCTGCATCACTAGATCTGCTTGACTTCATCAATTCAGCTTCACTGATTTTTAGAGACCGACTCGTCTCGCTTACGCTTCCATTTGGCACAGAAGTTGCCACTGCTCTCTTTGCAGAATTTGGTAGCTGTATCAGGCCTTCTTTATTTGATGACTCTCTCAAGGCATGCTTCTTTTGCCGACTAGCAGCAATCGCATCATGGGTTCGAACACCGCGCAAGGTTCCCTTGGTCATATGCCCACCATGATCGCCAGCTGGACCACTTTTACCATTGGGAGCAGCAGCTCGGTACGATGCAATGAGAGCCTCAGTAGTTTCCTCCTCGGTAAAACCACATCTATTCATGCCAGGCCTGCGACGTTAATAGTAAAACATCATCCATTTGACTGAGCCAATGAATAGCAAATCAATACATGTCTTGCCACTACTTATACTCTGGCAATCGCTTTTTCATTTGATTATGACCTAACAAAACCAGAAATTCATCAAGGCATTGTAACTTACAGCCAGTCGAGCATTTCGCATAGCCATTTCTCCGGCAGGTCATCAGGATTCTTTCCAAATGGAAGAAGTCGCCACGTCTGACACTTGTCACAACAGACCCAATGATCATCTTCTGTCACAACAGGATCTGTACTTACAGGAGCAGGATCCGCAGGAACGTTTTGGGGGTGCAGAGCAGCACTTGAACCTGGCTTGGAATATACCTCTGATGCTAACATCTTATCATTTTTCTTTCCATTTAATCTCTCGACCAATGATTTACTGATCCCATTGGTTTCTTTATGAACCACATGAGCAGCCTTCACCCTATCCACATGACTTGTTTCCGATGGACTCGGATGACTATCCTCATGTTCTAGTTCCATGTCCCCAAAAAAATCACGATACCGGTCTCCAGATTTTCCCACAGTTTTCTGGACTTTGAGGTCCTCTAACTCCCCCTCTGTTGAATCATTAACATGAGAATCCTTCGGAATTCTTGAAGCTGAATAAGGTCCACCAATAGAGCCTGTTTTTGATATTTCTGCGACTACATTGCTATGATTCTGGCTTTTCTTTGGTTTCTTTTTTCCTTCTGAAGGCAAACACTCTTTACTGGAAATGAACTTTTCACCTTCATATTTCTGGGATGAAAATTTCTGGTCAGTCTTATGCTTTATTGATTCAGTTGACTCAGCTCTCAAAGCTTTACCAACTTTAGAAATATTGGCATCGATTTTCACCGAGTTGGAAGATTTTCCTCTTCTGCGGGGGCCACCTTTCCTGGAGCATTCAGAAGCACTATCAAGAGACTCGTCCTTCTTATCTTCCAAATCTTCACACAAGGTAGTTGCTATGGAATTTACAATGCATCCATCCTCTTGAGAAGCCATTGGAATGAATGGCACCTTTTCCGGATCAATAACAGCATTGTCCTTCAAACCATCCTTACATACTTCCTTTGATAAATTAGATGCCATCCCCGAGCCTTTTATAGTTTCACCTGTTGTAGAATATGCACTAGATAGCAGCGGCAGCCTTAAGGTATGGGAAACTAGTCGATCACATGCTAGACTGTCAAGGACCATCTCCTTGCTTGATGCAATCTCAATACCACTTTCAGAAACCTTTTTGTAGTCATTTTTTGATTCTGAGGAAAGCTCACACCTCTCCAGCAACTTCATTTTACCCTGACCAAGCATTTTTTTACCAAGATTTGAAACAGGTATGGATCCACTATCCCTTGGAAGCCTTTCTTTTTCCATCAAGTGAATCAGAAAATCAGGAAGAGGTGATAACAGAAGCCCTCCATGCACTGGGAAAGAAGTCATTATCTGTTTCGCCAGGAAGAGAGAAATATTTAAAAAATGGCAACCATTAAAACAGCATCCAATAAAATGTAGACCTGGAAAATGAAAAACTAAAGGGCAAGCAGATGATTCACCCGAATAATGTGAGCAGGAGATTCTAAGGAAGCATGGTGAAGATCATGAGACATCTCTTCACTTTCAGAGGGACTGTCCTCCGTTGATGAAGATGGAGAGACATTAAGGCCAAGACCACTATAGAGAGCATCATTTGTTTGTGTCGACAAGTTATCAGAGCCTACTTTGATACGGAACTTAAGCATCTTCGGGTCAGGTAAACTGTTAGGCTTCTTAGTAAAGATTTCACGTCCAATCACTTCCTCAGGCATATGAGCAGATGGCATGCGGCGTTCTTGTTTGAGTGAAGCCACAGTCAAGGATGGCATTTTCGTTGAGGGGAGTGATAGAGCACCAGCAGAAGTATGACCAGGCCTTATAGCCTGAGGTGCACCTGATGAATCAGAGCTTCGACGACCGGCCTGTTAGAAAACATTGGAACCTCTTAAGACGCAAATATCGTCCAACATTAGAAATTCTTGAGTGCATCAGGAGCGATTCAATAACAAACGATGTGCCTAAAGTTTAAAACACCGTATCTTACCCCATACTGTAAAGTGTTTGGCGATTTAGGCAAATTACTAGTTTGCTGGACATTTGGAGGAGTCCGAGGATGAGACCAAGCAGGCGAGCGCTGGCTAGATAAAAATGAACCATAACCACCAAACTTGGCTCCTGTATAAATGTAAATTCTGATGGTAAGATATCTGAACCGGAGTCCAACTCCACCAGCTGAGTAGATTATAATATCACACGGCAGCCAGTGTTAAACATACCCAAATTCTCAGCTGAAACACCTCCTTCAAAATCCTTTTGAAAGTGCCCCAAGACGTGTTGTAGTTTCTCGTCCTGTTGAGCAAAACAAAAATAAAAATTGTGACTTATTGAGCAGTATAGAGCACACAAAATTGTGACTTGGAATCAATCCTCTGAGCTAATGGAAGATGTTAAAACATAAGTTCTCTATCCCCTTACAATTTGGTTCATGAAGATGGAAATAAACTAATACAAACTCCAGAAGGCTTAGTCAGACACTGTTTATATTAAGCACAAGCGCCCAAATCCAGAACACCAAATTATTCATGTACATTCCATAACAGCATTACTTAGAGTGAGTAGCAGCCAAGGAAGTTTTAAAAAAGAGAAAACAACAACCTTCAACACCACTCAAAATTCTCATCAGCATCATCAAAAAGGGAGCATCTAACACTATTTCCTAAAAAAAGTCAACTAAGGACACCAGGAATCCGCCTACCACAACCCTAACTCCAGTGCCAAGCCAATTCAAAACTACAAAGGAATGAATGAGATTATAATTAAAGAATCCAAATTAGATTGGAAGAGGAGTCGAGGAGAAGAAGAAGGAACCGACTAGGTAAGAGAGGGCAACATCGGGGTCCATGGTGGCATCGCAATCATCGTCGTCATCGTCGTTGTTAGGAGAATGGTATGAACAAGCCTCTCCTTCCTCAAGCTCCGTGTCTTCCTCCATCATCATCATCTCCCTCCCACCACCACCACCACCGCCAACACCTAACTCCTTTCTCGCATCTCTCCTCTCCAGAGATAGCATCAAAGAAAGAATCCCCCTTCCCCCCCACAGAGACGGAACCAGAAAATAAATTCAACCTCAAACACGCGATAGACTCAGAGAGGCGGCCGCTCTCTGCCCACAAAACTGAATCTGACCCATTATTCCCCACCCGCCAAAACACGACTGTATATACCAAATCTGAACCAAAAAACCAAAAACTAAGGAAGATCGAAGCGATCAACCACGCCGAAAAGGGGAAACAAGTGGGAAAAAGGTGAGATTGTTGGTATTACCAAACAGAATGGAATTTTGAGAAGAAGAAGATTGATCGAAAGACCAGACCAGGAATGGAAAGGAAATTCAAATCGGCGAGAATTTGGGTGCGGGCGATGGTGGTGGTGGGAACTGTCTGGCTCAAGGTTTTGGGGAGGAATTGGGTTGGTGCGATCGATCTCTCTCTCTCTCTCTCTCTCCCTATAGCTGGAAATCGAATACCATTCAGACTTCACACCTCTCTCTCTCTTCCTCTTGTGTTTGTTTTGTCCCTCTGGTTTTTGGTGAATACAGCAGCCGCGTTTTCTTCTTCTTCCTTTTTTTTTTCTTCTTTGTTTTGTTGTTAATTAAAATAATATTATTATATTTAATTTATTTTGCCAATCCAGTCTGCAAGGAAAATTTTACCAGATATATGAAGAAGAAAGATGAGGGACGATGATCCATCATTCTGCTGCATCTGTATCTATCTATCTATCAATCTAACCGAAGAAAGTACTTTCAACTTACAAACTCCCTTCCCAACAAAAAAAAAAAAAAACCAACTCACAACAGAAAAATAAAACGGGAAACCTGTGGAGGGCTGCCACGTAAAATCACTGTGCAGTTTTACCCGTTTTAATTTTTGACACCTGCTGTCTCTGGTGCTTTCTTTTTCTTTTTTTTCCTTGTGGGACTTAATTTTTTGGGGTTCTTACTTTTTTACTGCGAGGAAACTTCGATCACCAGCCAGCCGCCAAACTAGCGCGTGTATTCCACTCTGGAGTATAATTCCTCTTCCCTCCTCAAATATTCCAATTTCGTGCATGTGAATCCGGGTTTAGGATCAAAATCCATAATAAGGGACGAGTTTAAATCTATAGACGGTTAATAATCTATAAATTGTTAATAATCTAAAAATTTTAACTCTCCAAATTGTTGAAAACAGATTTTGAAATGTTTATTGTTTGGTAACTGAAATTGTTAACATTCAATTAAAATATAAAAAAAATTAATTTTATATTAAATAAAATGTGTATCCTAAAAAAAAAATTAGAGTGGTTCAAGAAATATTAAAAACTTTGTTGATAGATATATTTCATGTGATAAATAAATAAAAGTAAGAGAAAAACTAGGAGAAAAAAAATCTCACGAATCAAGATATAGAATCTCTCCGATTATGAGAGATTTGATATCCGCGGATTTTAGAGATTTGAAATCTCTACAGGTAGAATCCACAATACAGAAAGCAACAAAAAAAACATAACTTTCTCCAAATCTACGAAGTCAGTGAATCCATGTCCTGAATCCTGTTCACCAAACGATTCATAAATGTTTGTTGAGTGATCTTTATGTATTGGAACTCGAATTGAACCAAATAAGGTTCAAGAGACCAAGACCAGATTAATCAATTGGGTCGAGAAAGTGAGGGAATAAAAAACCAAAGAGGGCTTTGAGCTTATTTGAGTGAGAGAGGAGGGGGTTCGGGAAGAAGAAGGAAAGAGAAGTGGGCTTGAGGGTCGGGCAGGGTTCGGGAAAAGAAAGGGGAGTTAGACTCGAGTGAAGAACGGAAAGGAGGAAGCATGCTTTAGAATGGATTCGTCGACAAAAAGAGAGATTGTTAATGCGCGAATGGATGGAGTCATTTTCCTTCCCCCTACAGGACGAATCAAGTAAGAGGGAACATGAGCATGACCGAGGTAACATGGGAGGATTACCGAATGAGAATGGAAAATACTAATGAAGGTTTGGAGAATCTTGGATTAGGATTACCGATATGCGTGCCCCCTCCCCACAATCTAGGTATCAACTGGGAAAAAAAAGATAGATTGAGAGGCTGCTCAGACATCGCAATGATTGGAGTTTTATCACGATTCTAAAGTTAAGACTTAAGGGTAGAGCAAAAAAGAAGCATAGCAAGAGGAGAGAGACAGAGTGAGAACCAGGACATGGACAAAAAGGGTTGGTGGCAGTTTTGAGGAAGCTCAGCTCGCTGATTCGAGCTTAATTATACACAGTTACACCCCCCCCCCCCCCCTTTTCTTGATCGTTTGACTTGTGATCCCTCATTCTTAAGGTCGTTTCATACTAGGTTGTGCTTGCTTGAGTGTATTCAGGTCCATGCATGTGAACATGGCAAAATGAGCGATTGTCGGGCCAATTGGAACCAAAACCAGAACAAAGTGAATAAAGTGTCAAATGTCACGATTCAAAGCATATTGTCACGGCTAAATCATGACATCTAGAGGGAAGCCGTGAGATTTGCACAATTTTATAAGCATATTTTCGTTTCGCGGGCACTTGAAGATGTCACGGCTTAAACCGTGACATTTGCAACTAAGTCGTGAGATGTGTAGGTCAAACGACACACTTTGGGTCGATCTCATGATTTGGTTATAAATGTCACGATCGTGATGTTCAAACATGACTTTGGCACCTCTGGCTCTAAATAGGAGCTAGAATCATATTTGAAATAGAGGAGTGTAGAGTGAGAGAGTGGGCATCTGCTAGATACAGAGAGAAAGTGACGAAGGAGATCCCTAGGTGGTAAATTAGAGCTTCAATCCATAATTGGAGGGTAATCTCATCATCAAGGATTGAAGATTGAAGATCAAGAGGAAGAACCTATTCCCAAGGATAATTTCTTCTCATAGTTTTGTGTTTGCCTCTCTTTCTCTCGCTATGAGCTAAACCATTATTCACTTGGGTCTCGTAGAACTCTAGCTATGTATGTTAGATTAGATGATTGAATGATTCATTTGCTTGTTTGAACTCTTTACTATATATATAGAATTGAGGTATTTCATGAAATTGGTTTGGATGTTGATCAAACTCTCCAATTATTGATATTAATCTAAGATAGATAATATCCAATTCGGTTATTTAGAGCAATTTCTCAATCTTCATTGTGGGTCGTTGGATCGAGCGTGAAATTGGACTACAATGTCGTATTGGATCATTAGCCATTAGTGGGAATCTGTTTGGCATCGCCCTATTTGTGTTATTTTGTCGAATGTGGAAACTCTCCCTCTGGATAGTCCACTATAGGTGAGTTTGGATGATTTGAAAGGGAGTTCAAACGGGATTCGGATTCTTTGTTGTATAAATCTCAAGTAAGCAATCTTGGAACGTCAATCATCGGTCTAGTTTATAGATAGAGCGAAGCACAACAGAGTGACTTTCTCTCCATAGTTTTCAATCAAACTTTATTTGTCTTGCTTTATATAGATTCGTTTAACTCAAACTTTGATATGCTAGATAACAAGTTAGCCACAAAGTAATAGTAGATTTGACGCACAAGTTAGATAATTAAACTTTACTTTCGCTATACTACACCCGATTGTTGGTTGCACTTGGCCTAACGTTGGAATCTATAGTGTTAGTAGGATCGAGTCACTCACCAGCGTGGGAGGTTGCGAAGCGGATTCAGACCTTGAACTCAACAAAGATGACATTAGAAAGCATCGGGATTTTATAAGCTACAAATTGGGTAAGAAACGATTATTGGTTTTCTTTAATAACTATGACTTTTATGGGTGGATTCCTTGTCTCTTACTAAATTGTTATGGAATGGATTGACGTTTGAGCTAGTAAATCAACAAAAAGATAAAGACAATATTAAGGAGGTGGAGATCATGAATCATTGTGTCTAGGTCGACGATTAGTCTATCATACAAGATGTGAGTTTTGCTTCCCATAATCATGGATTTTTATAGCATGAATATTATAATTTGATGGATATAGTTAAGAGCATTTAGGTCTTTTGTATGACATGGCAGTTTGGAAATTATGATAAAGTATGGCCATCGTATGAAAATTTGAATGTTAAGGATGAGCATGTTGACAAGCCATCATTTGGATAAGAAATTGGAAAAATCCGTTTTTTCCTTTATTCTCCAAATCACAAGGTCAAATTTGTCTATTGGGTTGAATTGGACAGTTTTGAAAGTTTGGGCTTGTGATTCACTTTTGTTCCTAACCACTTTTGAGTTTGTGAAACAATTTTTTCTATTAGACTTAGATTTTATGTGCTTTGCTTGAGGGCAAGCAAAGAATTAAGTGTGGGTGATTTGAAGGTATTGTGAACGATTTGTACTATGTTTTTTTCAATTTTTCTTGTTTTACCAATGTTGTCAGAACTGAAATAGAGCATGCAGGTGTTGTGAACGATTCACTCTTTAATGGTCTAACTGGTATTGGACCGGTAAAAACCGTGAATGAACCGGTACCTAATGAACCACAAGATTTAAAGTACTACACGCTTCTTGAGCACAATAAACCATGAATGCATTACTCCTGAACAGTTCTAAAGCATGAATAACGAAAGTTCTAAAATCAAAACCTCACATAACCCACATAGTTCCTCTAAGTAAAAGCAATGGTACAAGAGTATGGAACATGGAACAAGAAACATGAAATGAAAATCACTCAAAGTCCGAACAAGTTTAAAATACAATTTCAACACCATCTCATTCACCACCACTAGCATCAGATGAATCACTAGTTGAGGACTTCATGTCATCGGGTTGCCTATCATCATCTTTATCATCATCCAATAAGTAAAAAATGTATATAAGAAACAAATTTATGTTAGAAATCAGAAGTTAAAAAATATGTAAAAGATGAATGTTCTTCATTTATCAATATGGTAATCCAACCTTCATTGCGACCTCTTTTCCTACTTATAGCTCCACTTCCTTTAGGAATGTCATTAGTATAATTCTCAACTTCAATAGCTTACATGAACTCACCAAATTTAAGCTCTTGAGTTTGGGCATCTTTCATTT